TTGGTATCAATTACACATACACACAATATATGAGGGAAAATATAATCAAATATATAATAAAAACAAATTACAATCGCTTTAATTTTTTTCTCTCTTAAAGAGAAACACTATTTAAAAAAATTTTAACGATTGCCTATTACTGTATACTGTATATACACTATAGCATCAATAGCATTGATGAGGTGGTCGTCTAATATATTAGTTAATTATGCGTTACATACACATAGCTATCTGTCCTGTCTCTGAAATAAACACGACTGTTATTAATGTGAGTGAGGGGACCAACAAAAATTTTTTGCTCTCAGCATATATGAAAATATATATATATAGATAGAGCCTATACTGTCATTAAAAATAAGTTTTTAAAATTACAAAAAAGATGACAAAATTGGTTGTTTGCTTGCCTTTAGGCTATGTCATGAACAGCTCACTCACTCACTCACTCACTCACACATACAACAAGCCGTACCGTGACTTGACTTTTACAGGCAATACATTGAATGCCATTATATCTATGAGAAGCACTCGTGTCTTGAGATTTGTATCGAGAGTGACGAACATTCTGTCACTTATATCACGGTATGGCCATTGATATGACCGCCCTTATCGTGTCTAACCCCAAGTGCTATGAGCTGATCCGGATCATCAAAATGCCATTCCTTTATCATACCTATCATGCATTTGCTATTTTTTCATTGCCTATTATATATCTCCCGCTTTTGTTTCAAAACAATAAGTAATTTTAAAAATATTAGATTTATCACATTAAATGCTATTTTCAAAACAAAAATGCAATTACATATCTACAGTATATAATACACGACATATAATATAATACTATATAATAAATCTACATCATATACAAGTACATAATGGCATATTTATTGTCAACCTTTATTATTGAACTAATTTTCTCATTAAATGACTATATTATTTTGACATAATATATGCAATTAGTGTTATTATAATCACACATAAAGAGAGAGAGAGAGAGAAAGAGAGAGAGAGAGGAGACACTTATATCAAATGCATACCAACGGGTGATTTAATAGTCATTAACTATGCAATAGAAAAACATATAAATAAATGCATTGAATAATCGATACATTAAATATATTTAAAGAAAAAACATGTTTAACAAACATCAGTGCATATATAATATTTAACTATCAAATATTTGCATAATTATTTGATATATACAGTCAATAATCAAGTGTCTAAAAGTTTGCCATTTCAATAATTTTATGACAAATTCTATGGATAATATATTATAGTATATTATATGATACGATACGTTGACTCTTAAGCTGTTACTTGTGTTGTAAATTTCAAAAAAAAGATTAACCCAAGAATATCAATGAGAAAAAGAGACTTAATTTTATTGCAGTCAAAAAATTAAGTCATTTTTGTTTGCAGAGATGAATAAATATTTTTTAAATATTTTTTTCTATCTTTTACTTTGCAAATCGATTCTTAAGTTTTGTTTCTTATAGACAATCCTTAATAATAGAGAATAAAGAGAGAAAGAGAGGGAATCCATTATTTTGACAGTTGTTGAGTCCAAACGCGGAACAAATAATAATAATAATAATAATATAAATGAGAAAATATTTGAGAGATTTATTTGTTTTGAATGCTAAGTGAGTGAGTCTTTTCTTGAGTTATTGAGGAACGGGATCTCTCTCTCTCTCTCTCTCTCTCTCTCTTTAGAGAAAAAGTCATGTTTCGCTTAAATTGAGAATTTTTTTAAATGACTTCGTGAATGTTATGACAAAAATAGTTATAATTTCCTAATAGAGTGCACAAATAAATACTGTTTTTACAATGGCTTAATAACTATTATGAGAGAGAATTCTCGCAATTAATGGCTTTTTCCAGTCAAACACATACCAGTGCTGTCCTTTTTTCTACCTCTCTTTCCAAATGGTGTGCTTCACAAATCGCATAAAGTTATGGATATACATATATACAATATATATATATATTTATATGTATTTATATATTTATATATACAGTACAGTGAGAAATAAGTAAGAAGGTATCGGATGAAAGTGCTTTGAGTAGTTCATCGCGTGCTTCACTCCCGGAACTCATGGCTAACTCCGGGCTATAGAGGCGTTCCCTTTGAAATTCAGACCAACAATGGCTTCAATTAAATTGCCAGTGAATTGAGGTGTAGGTGCTCTTCTTAAGTAAAAAAGGGACTGTCATTTCTTGTGTGTCTATCATTTTCTTTATATATATACAGTATATAATATATCATACATACTATACCATACAGTATATATATATATATATATATATATATTATTTGCCAATAATTCCTTTGAACTCAAAAATGACTTTTTGATCGATTTTTTTTCTATGACTCGACTTATAAAAACCAATTCAAACATAGAGTACAATATATTTACAGTTAATAATCAAGTTTTTTAATAATAATAATAATATATCAACAGAGAAATAAAAAATTAAAAAAGATAGAAAAGCACTTTTGTTGTTAAATAAGTGATTGAGAAATACATTGAATGAGAGAAAAAAGTGCTCAAAAATCTTGACCTCAAATCTCGAGACCCTATTGTTGCGATTGTGACAGAAAACAAACATTGAAAACACATATCTTAAAACAGTTTATATATTTGTGATATTATTATTCAGACAATCAAATTTATGGCATTTTAATGGACTGTCAGTGCCACTAATGGTGTGCTTATATACATTGACCTTAAAAATAGGAGACAATTGAGAGATGCATTTTGTTGTACATTCAGTGCATTACTTTTGTAGTGTACTTTAAAAATTGTTGAAATCAAAACTTCCAGAAATGTAAATAACTTGTAGATTGACTACACTATTGACTGTACAGTACTGTTATTAGTCGATGTTAGCACCGGTAGGGTCTGAACGTGTTGTGGCCCCTCTGTGCAAATATGGCAAATAGTGACAGAATTATTGCATGTACTGTCATTTTGCACACACAAAAAGGGGGTGTCGAGTGAATATATAAATTTATATACAATACATATACAGTACATACCAAATATATATATATACCGATCACAAGAATCTTTAAAATAATGGACTCGAAGAATGCGGAGGACTTACCATTTGCACAATACATCTATGAATTTGGGAGTCAAGTCGATCCACTATTTTTTCAAAACAACTCTCTCTCTCTCTCTCTCTCTCTCCCAGAAATAGACTTTAAACTTCTTTTTAGTAAATTACAGGTTTTCGGTACGGTATATAGCAGTTATCTCATAGATATATAGTGACGACTGTGTGTGAGTGAGTGAGTGGAGTGGGGGACGGGAGGCCACAACAGTGCACTACAATAGTGACTATAATAATAATTCGTTAACTCGATTCTCAATGCATCGACTTTTGGACTTTTAAAAACTTTTCTCTCTTTTTTTTCGCCTCTAATTCAACTTTAAATGACGTGTAAAATGTGTGTCTGTCGAGAGCCTCTCCATACAAACAAAACACAAATGGATTTTCAAAAAATAAAAGACACATTGAGTTTGTAATTTTTATGTACTGTTTTCGATGTATTAGTGTGTGTATGTGTGTGTATGTATGTGTGTGTGCACTGCCCTTTTCGGGCACTCCATAAAGTCCTCCCAGCGATATGTCCTACAGAAAAATAGTCTCAAAAATAGCCAAATATATATATATATATATTTGTATTGAACTAATTTTTCGACTCTTGAAGTCATTTGGTGGTACTCTTAATAGTGAATTTCTCTCTCTCTCTCTCTCTCTCTCTCTCTCTCTCTCTCTCTCTCTCTCTCTCTCTCAGCTCTAATCTATCATTTGCTATAATAAACCCTCTCTGACAGCAAAACTATTTGCCCCCAATAACTTTAATGATAGCATAAACCAGTACCTCTTTTCGGTGATTAGTCGACAAAAAAATTTTTTTTGGACTTTAATTTCAGTTTCAAAACATTTATATATAATAATTGCCAAAAATGTGTGACATTAAAGAAGCTTTAGATTTATTATAAGCAATTTTGATGTCATTTTGAAATTATTGATATACACCCTGTTTCTCACTTATGAAAAGTCATTATATTATATAACAAAAAAAAATTTTATATCTGAGAGTTTGCAAACCTATTACAAGTAATATAACAACAATATAATCATCGTTAACAACTACAACATACATATTGTATATGTATCTAAATTAATCAAATATTAAACACATTTTATGACTAAATAGATTATGTTTCAAATAGGTGTCTTACACATTATGTCAAAACTAAAAAATAATCTTAAACAAAATCTATTAAAGAATATACAGTATATGATATATACAGTACTTAAACAAAACAAAAATATTTGAGACAAAAATGTTTTGTCAAAAATCATATCACTAATGATTTGATGAGTTTATTGCGTGAGTGAGTGACTCTAAGTTTTAACAAATAACTGTCACTAAAAGACAAAAATTTAATTTATTACAAGATATTTATATCAAAATCAAAAGAGAGAGAAAAAAATTCAGTAATTGATTTTAATTATTATTAATACTCATTAATAATTTAATCACACATTTTGCATGCAATGTCAGATGTTATTTGCAAACAGACACATAAGTACTTTATATAAATATTTTTAGTATATTACTCGCTATTAAACAATTTGTACATTTTTAATAATAATTACAATACTAATAATAATAAAACAATTTTGATTCAATTATTATTTAATTTAACACAATTTTTATGCATTTATTTTAATAATTAACAAATTTATATATACTAATCAAGACAATCAATTTATATATAAAAATATTCAATCATTAATATAATAATTGTTTCACATTATAATAATACATAATGATACATATTTTTTATCGGGCAATAATTTCTAACTAACCCTCACACACCTCCCCCCCCCCAATAAATTGCATCTTAAACACTATAATCATTATAATATAGTAATTGTGATTATTATTATATGTTTTAATTTATTTTGTTTATTATCTGTAGTGTTTGATAACCTGCTTGTGTCGTCAAACAGTCATCACTCGTCATCAGCGGACAACATGCAGGCATCGATGGCCTTCGAGATCGCTTCGCTAATATTTTACGGCACTAATGCCCTACCGGTGCGACTTAAGATACTGTTGGACCGTATACTGCATATACTGGATAAGGATGAACTGTTGAATTTGTTGCACAGCTTCGGCTGGACTTACAATGACTATTCGCGAGGATATATGCTTCAGGTAGGCCTCAATATACACCACCAAACCTACTGTGCATTAGTATTGGACTGTCTTTTTTCTCACTGTCTCTTACTGACTGTCTGTCTCTATAAGTAATCAATATATTTAATAGAGTTTCAGAGTTGTTGTCGGTATATGTTTGTGTATGTGTTTGTCTGTAAATTGTAGTTTACACTGATTTCCATGTGAGAGGTATTCAATCAAAGTCAGTAGTATTACCCACACACTCGACAAATGCATGGGTCGGAGGATAGCAGAGAGCTTCTCCATATACAGAATATATATATATATATATATATATATACAGTACTGTATACACCACTTGACTATTATGCCAGTGCTCTAGAGATTAATGGACTATATATCACACACGCTTTGATTTCCCATAGTATAGCATTAAATGTCTAATACCAACAACACATACATATATGACACTATCAATACTCTCTCTTAAGCAAAAACAGTGAATATTTTTCTCGCCTAAACAATAGTCAGTAATAAAAAATGTGAAAAATAGCAAATTTTACGCAAAACGATGTGTGTATTATACGATTTGCTTATGTCATACCATTATTATTGATATGCACACACATACACACACACACATAGATATGTCACGGGATTAGAGAGATTTTTGCATATACAGGTGCTTCTGTGTGCTATGGTTTAGGTTAGGATGTTTTTTGTGGGAGAGGCATAAAACCAACAACAAAAAAGTGCAAATTGTTTGACATTTGAAAATTTGTTTGCGAGAGAAAAAAGTAAAAGTGTGCAAAAAGTTTAGATATATTATATATATATATATATGTAAAGAGTCGATCAATTCGTAATGCAATACAAGTTCGTCGTATGGGATCATAAGGTTTGCTGTTGTATATTATAATATTGTTTATATATTCAAATATATGGTATATCTAGAAATACACAGTTATTGGTGTCATATAAGGGAAACACATACACATAGAAAAAAGTTTTTGTTTATTTATGCTGTTATTACAGTGACAGCAAAAGACATTAGCAATACACTCGAGGAGATGACTAAAAATGTCTCACAAAAGTGTCTGTACTGTACTGTACAGCACATACCAGTACATACACAACCTTTAAGCCGCAATCAATCAAAATGCTTAGTATTTAACAGCATTGCGTATTTAAGTGTATGTCTGTGTGATCTACCAGTGCTATTATATACGACGATATAATATTATGTATATATATACCAAATACCATATATAAAAATATCAATGCTATACCTTTTTGCCACATTACACATGGCCTTTGCCTGTCACTGACGGAGACATTTAAATTAGCTAAACATCCTCAGCATTTCCATAAGCTATACAATCCTTATAAATATATATTACAGTATATATATATGTATACATAAATATCTGTGTCCTGACTTTTTCCGACTTTTATCAACAGCTTAGTTATGTAGACATTAGACGAAAAAGAGAAAGCGAGTCAACCAACCCATTCATTAATGGGGGGAAAACAGTTAGTTTTCATAGTAAACCCAGATTGAACTATACAGTACTGTCACTACTGTGTATATGGATATGCATAATATCTAGCGGTTAACCCCTTATGTATGGCAATACTATACTAACTACTACTACTACTTATGTAATCTCTATTTATTGCTATCACAATATTTTAAGACAAATATTAAAAACTGAGATTCCTCATTTTTCCAATTATATAATATATGTGTATGTATTATATAATAACAATAACTCAATATTATATCTTATATCGTTGTAGACACACACACACACATAAGGGTTGCCTTTTTTTAATAGAAAAAACCTAACTGTGCATTAGAAAAATAGGGAAACATACAATATTATTGTATAATAACGATTATCCAAACTAGACAGACATTTGTGGGTTCACAATATTATTGAGGGACATGACAGAGCATTTGTAACATCTCTTAAGTGAAACAACACGTCCTCCACATAAATATTATTACTGGAAAAACAAAAAAAAATTATAGCTAAAAATCATTATTACTTATATATATTTTCATGTATGCCACACTATCTCAATATTTAGGCTATCATATTATATGGTTATATAATAGTATACATTATAAATATTACTGTACGCGAGATAGTAGTGTACAGTATTATACAAATACAGTACATGTCTATCTATTCTAAAATATAGTAAACAATTGTTTCTCAACGCATAAAATAATTTTTTAGTTTATATAATACTTTTATTATATAAAAATTTTTTAAGGGTAATAACAGAGTCGTGTTGTTGTTGTTGTCTAATATGATGGTTAAAGTAATGCTTAAACAACATTCAATGATTAGCAGCGTTTGATATTTTATGAATATAGAGTTTGTGTGACACATATATATAAAAAATAATAACTAACTGTTGTTTGGCTATATAAATGCCAACATAAAAAAGTGCCATTGATTTATCAATTGTTATTTTTCCATCATTTTATTATCACATTTAAACAATATATATATATATATATATTCAATTCAATTCAGTTAAATAAATAATTTATTTCAAATCAAAACCATACACATAATACTGTATCTCACATAATATAAAATATAAAGTATAGTATTCACACACACAACCAACCAGTCAGTCAGTATATAAATTGAAACTTTTTTTGGCCTCAAAAGCAAATTTTTGTTTCAACAATTGTTTTTATCACAAAAAGTTTTTTTAGATAACAATTTAGATACAATTTATCATTTATTTTTTATAAGTAAGACAACATAACAAAATCAACAACAAAAAATAATAATAATAATAATAGTCTTAATAATATTGCACAACAAATGTAATGCATTTAAAAATTAGCCACAAATTAAGGCAAAATAGATTTTTACTTAATAAGTTATGTGTGTTGTTTGATTCAATTGTTGACATATTAGTAGATTGACTTCAAAATTATCAATGTTAAATTTTGATTGATAGGCAATAACAACAACAAAAATGATTTTGAAATGTTTAAATTATGGCTTTTACAGTATATTTTGTCTATGAAACAAATTTTTAATTTATAAAATGTAATATTTTTGGATAATGGGTTAAAAATATTATAAAAGTTTTTAATTCAATGAAAATAGGAAAAATAAAATTTATAATTATATCTAAATTTCATCGTATATTTTAATGTAATAATTTTTTTATTATGTTATTTAATATTAATAATAAAGTAATAATAATAATAATGACTTTATTATTTATATTACTAACTATGATGTTTATATTTTTTGAACAGCAAAACCTCTAAATTATTATAAATATATTATTACATATCAATATTTATAGTATAAAATTAAAACTATAAATTTTAGTATTATTAATTTTTCATATATATAAATTTTAATATTAATTAAAATTATAAATATAAAATATTTTAATAATAATTTTAAATAATATATATTTATATAACTAATAAAAGTTTTTATGTATATATATATCTATATTTATATGAATGACAGGACACGTGCGGTAATCTCTTCACCCGTTGGTCTCTCATATCCAAAGAAGAGGAGCTATTGATATTGAAATTGTTTCTTAGATTTTCCGAAACGAGAACTATTGCACAAAATTTTGTATTACAAGACACAGCCATTAGTGAGACATCATTATTATTATCATCAAAATCCCATAACAATAGTTCACAACTATTTTTTCATAATAATAATAATACTACTAATAATAATAATAGCAAAAGAGATTCAGATTTGAGACGATTTATCGAAAAGACATCGAAATCGTCGATTTCATCCTTAATTAAACAATCAATTAATAGTAAACATCATAATCACAATCATAGCATCAATACTAACAAAGATGTGATCAATTTATCGCACACCACATCGACACCAAACAGTGGTCGACCCATAATTAAACATGAATTACACCAGAAATCGATGGCATCATTGAATGCCAGTCTTATGAATCCCAATCCGATGTCACCGAACGAGAAAAAGCTGTCGTCGTCGTTGTCGTCAGTTTTTATGCACAACAGTAGACAAAGTCCGCCAGTACTGTCACCGCTGAATAAGTTGCAAAATATGCAACCATTTGATTACCGCAAATCAAACGAAGCGACATCAAAGTTAGCCTCAATTGCATCAGACATTCCCGTAGGTTATGCACAAAACATGACACCCACACTGTTGTCGCCGACCACCTCGTCGTTTCCGTTTGTCTCATCTGGTTTGCCAATTATAACCACTGCTGTCACCACTAACAACATTTCGTCATCAATATCAACAAACATGACCTCAACGACAAACTCTAATATCAGTATAAATGATTGTCTTTCAGACGACAACGATGACACAAACACTAGCGGTGTCATCAATTTAAGCCAAACAACTTCATCAGCGTTTGCTATGAAAAAAGTTAAACATTTAAGAAAGTCGGCAAATCCTATGAAAAGACGATGGAATAATCCAATGATTATGAGTGGTTTGGTAACCAATCCATCGACAGGCAAGAAGCGGGTCCAGTGTCACGTTTGTATGAAAACTTTCTGTGATAAGGGAGCTCTTAAGATACACTTCAGTGCTGTCCATTTAAGAGAAATGCATAAATGCACTGTCGATGGCTGCAGTATGATGTTTAGCTCCAGAAGAAGCAGGAATAGACACAGCGCTAACCCTAACCCTAAACTACATACTCCTAACTTTAGACGAAAGATCAATCCACACGATGGCCGATCTGCCTATCCTTTTCCACATTTGTCCAAAAACTCATCGACGTCTCTATTGAATTTATCGTCAAACAATCTTATTGGACAAAACATGGACGGATCAAATCCGCTGATGGACACGGATTTAGATAAAAATAGTGCCAACAATTTGTCGTTCAATCTGGACTGTGACAGCCAATCATTATCGCCGTTTAGTTCTTGTGGAAACAGTGATACATCACCAATGATGACACAAATGATGCCAACAAATACTAATAGCTTATCGAAAAAATCGAGTAATAAGAGCGGAGAAGAACAAGAAAAGAATGGTTCGCCAGAAGAAGGAATAGATTTGTCACTGAAAGAGGATTTTTCTACAAATAAGCGAAAAAGAAAAAGTTTAAATCCAATAAAGTTTGCGCCGATAGCTATGATTGCCAGCGATGATGACATTAAGTATGAATTGAGTGATGACTCTTCCAGCGACACATACATCGATCGCATGGATGATGACGACGACAACGACAACCAATTGTTAGACGACTCAAAATCTGATTTTGACTCTTCAGATGAGGTCATTGGTGGCGAATATATGGATAATTTATTGTTAAAAGAGAAAAAAGATGTGGAAAACAAAGTAAATACTAATAACAGTAATAATAATAATAATATCAATAAAGAGATTATTGAGTACGATATGGACGGAACTATTGACTTAAGCAAAAAGTCTCGATCTTCGCCACCAAAAGAGCCAGTAATTGATGATATAAAGCAACCAAAAAACAAAATTGAGACCTCATTTACAAACAAAATGAATGCATCAATCAGTAGTACTCATGAATCTTCAGTTGAGAACCCTTTGAGACATTTGGAGTCATTATCGATGGGCTCTTCGTTCACAAATCTAATGAACGCCTCACGCAATCACCACAAGAATCACTCGTTATTTTCACCAAACTCTATGCATTCGTTATCATTTCACGCACCGGGACTGGGATTAAACCTGAGGCCACCAACACCACCGTCACTACCACCAGCACAGCAACCAATAAGTAAATCAAGTGAAAAGCAAACAAACGCTATCATTAAGGAGTCGGAGTACGAGCCAACAGATATGAACGCCGGTAGTCCGCACAGTCCTAATAGCAATCCCTCGGGACTCGATATGGACTCATGTATGTCTGATCACGTATCGATGATGCCTTCATTCAGAGAGTCATCATTTATGGGTCAAATCGATGTTCCCGTCGACAAAGAAAACCCGCGACGATGTACGGCCTGCGGTAAGATCTTCCAGAATCACTTCGGCGTCAAAACCCATTACCAAAACGTTCACTTGAAGGTCATGCATAAGTGTACTGTCGATGGTTGTAATGCTTCATTTCCATCGAAAAGAAGTCGCGACCGACACAGTGCTAACCTGAATCTTCACCGAAAATTACTGTCCACACACAGTGACCCGAAATCCGTGTTCGGTATGGATAAAAGCAGTTCCGGGTCTATGTTTCCATTTCCCAACTCTGCTATACGAGAGGACTTCCTGAGTCGTCTCTATGATCCACAAGGATTGCCACTGAATCTAAATGATATATACAGTCGATTGCCGCCAATAGGACCGGACGGCTTGTTTGCCAGCGCTGCTGCTGCTGCGGCTGCCGCCTCATTCCCAGTTATGCCCGGATTTCACCCGGCAATGTGTTTGCCACCACTGCCACCGACATCCAGTTCCTTATATTTAGACACCCGATCGAGTGTCAGCCGAGAATCGCCGAATTCGATTCGAACAACTCCCAGTCCATCGATGAACAGTCGATCATCGCCTACCGGTGTTATACAAAAATCTCATCACCGAATCAGTTCGCCATCTAATAACAATAGCGTTGTACTCGAGTCGGTCCTAATCGCCAACGATAGTGGCAGATATGTCTGCATGTATTGTCAATGTTGCAAATCGGATGCCAGTTTGCTGAGAGATCACTACGAAAGAGTACACAAAGACATTCTCTACCGGTGTGTTGTCCACGGATGCAATAAGGCTTTTCTAGACAAGAAGTCAAAGAAAAAGCACATTCAGTTCCACAGTCCGCCGCCTACCAGTGCGGAGACAACCATTTGAGAAATTTTAAAATTATTATTATTATTAAAAAAATTGTTGTGCCAATAAATTGTTTGCACATTTTTAATGCCATAAAATGCAAAAAAAATTAATATAATTTCATTTCTTTGGATCAAATCATTAGACAATTCTATATTATATATATATATATATATATTTAATATATATTTACTGTTATATCGTTATAATAATGTTGTAAATTCATTTTTAATGTAATTTATATTATAAAAGTTTATGAGTTATATATATATATATTATATAATTACAAATGTAATTAGTATTATTATTATTATTATTAATTATTATTATTATTATTAATTATTATTATTATTATCAATGTATCTGTAATATTATATTAGTATTGATATTGATATTTATGTAAATTCTGGGAATTTTTTTATTAGAAAAAATTATTATCTATTTTACAATTTTACTCATTTTATTTGAACCTCAGATGGTATGGCATATAATTATATATTATATATATATATATATTTCCTATTGATTGACAATGTTTTTTAGTCATGTTATTTGATTGGAAGTTAATAATTATTGTTTATTGAATATTTTGGGATTAATAAATATAATATACTCCTTTGACTAAAAAATTATTGGTAATAATATTAATAAAAGACACTTTTAATATATATTATATATATATATATATATAATAAACTATTTAAAAATATTTAAAAGACTCATTTTAAAATTAAAAACTAATGTACTCAAAAGTCATAATGTAGACAATTTTTTAAAAATCAAATTAAATTATTTGTAAAAATTATTATTATTATTATCATTAATTCATGTAAATAAGTGATATAAACGATTCAATTGTTTTACCCATTTTTTGATGATTGATAATAAAACCATTTGTAAAAAATAAAATAATGTAAAATGTATAAAATGCCATATATTTAATACAATATACAGTATATATATAATATTAGATAACGTCAAGTCCTACCATCATATTTGCATTGATGTGTGACCCATATATCGGGCAAATTGAGTATTCAATCGATTTTTTCGACAACAAAATAAAAACTAACTTAAATATTAATAATCATAATCATCAACAACAACAACATCGTCATCATTGTTCACTACACATACAATCATATAAAATATCAGATGAATAGCTAAATAATAATAATTTTTAAAGAAAGGTATAATACATTATAGCATAACATTCCCAATAAATTTTATTGACAACACATACACACACACACACACATACACACACACAAGTTCACTGTATGTATATATGATTGACTGCTATTATTTAATAAATATCTATTTATGCCAAATAACATTGAATATGAATAAATTGTAATTTTAAAAATATTTTTTTTTTATATTTAAATGTAAAAATAATTATAATCATCATTATTTTTTATTCTTGTTATTTTTATTTATTTTTATTTTTTATTAAAGAAAACATTTTATACCATTTTTGTTTATTGTTTAATATTAATTTCTTTCTCTCTCTCTCTCTCTCTCTCTCTCTCTTTATTGAAACTAAACTGAAAATCAATTGTAAAAATTATAATTAATCGCAAACTCCAAAAAAATAACAAAAACAAAAAAGTTATAACAAATAAAAAGTGCATCATTTATAAAAAATAATAATTTTTTTCTTTTATTTAAGTATTAATAATATAACTTTTTTGATATAATGATGATCATCAACACAAACACTAGGCTTAAATTTTGTCGTACAATAAAAAAAACTTTTGTACAGCATTTTGCAGTTAAATATAAAGTATATTATTATTATTATATACAGTAAATACTGTATATTATAGTTTTTTGTGTCAAAAATATATCTATAATTATAATGATCGTATACTATAGACACAGACCGGGTATGTGTTTGGATGATAAAAATAATGGCTTTTGGGGACCGACTCTTGCCGTGTAGTAAAGTGTGTGTCGTTTGTGCGCTTCATTAACCCTTTCTTAAGTCTATTGAGAGACAAAAACATTGATGAAGAGAGAGAGAGAGAGAGAGAGAGAGAGAGAGAGAGAGAGAGAGAGAGAGAGAGAGAGAGAGAGAGAGAAAGAATACAGTCTCTCTTTCTTTCTATATATATATTTATATAAATATATTGTAAACTAGTGTTTGACTTCCTCTGGGAATACAAGCCTTACATAAAAGTCTCTCTCATTTTTTTTCTCTCTCTCTTACGACTCGTTAGCTGAATGTCGAGCACATAGAGTGAGGACACTATATATTAGGGTTCACTATATGAATGGCATCTCTATGGGCTCGAGGGGGCTGTTGGGGCCGACAATCAATATAGCAATGAATGAAACAATAAATTTCGATAAAAGCTGTGCAATAGTTACAAGTCTTCCGGAATCACTAGACATCTCTCATTCTCCATCGCTCTCTCGCATCCCAGAGCTCTCACTCTTTCAATACATTTGTTGTAAAAGGATGTAAAGAGTTGTTCAAAAAGTTATATGAATGGAGAGAGAGAGAGAGAGAGAGAGAGAGAGAGAGAGAGAGAGAGCAAACATATTGGTTCCGGTAAACATTCACTGTATTCACAAAACTAATGTCAACTTCCTTTTCAAACACAAAACAATACAACAAACTCTACCATCACTTCATCTTTAACTATCATATCGATTAAAAAAACTGAGTAAATGAATAAGTCTTTACTTCTATCTTTAAGAGAGAGAGAGAGAGAGAGAGAGAGAGAGAGAGAAAGAGAAAGAGAGAGAATATATAGTATATATATATTACATACTTAATAATCAATCATTTCATTGCATTGGATTTTAATGGTGACATAGGATATAAAAAATTAATAAATAAATACATATTATATCAACAAAAAAGATAACTAAAAATAGACAAACTAATGCATAAAACTAAATTAAATTTTTTTTAATAACAATAAACTCTTAAATAAAAATATTTTCAACTATGTATTACTATAAATACTGTACTAATAAATATATTGAAATAAATAACTCAATAATTTTGCAATAATTGGTTAAATGTGATAATTTGCAAATTGCTTTCAATTTTGATTGATTCACTATTATTAATAATAATCAAACTTTTTATTTATTATTATTGCTGTTATTAAATATAAAATTATATTATAACAATTATTTGTTAATTATAACATAAGGGCTAACTATATTGACTAAAATTATAAATACAGTATTTATTTAGCATTTAAAAGGTGATTATAAAAATAAAAAGTATTTAATTATATGTCTTATATATTGGGCACCTATGATGACATTTTTAAAATTTCTTTGATTTCTATTACCAACTCAAACAATGGTATTAACAATTTATATATAAAATGCATTAAAAAGAAGTGTTCAATTATTGACAACACATAGGGTCTCTCTCACCGGTGATGTCTATTATTAGTGAGGAATGCCGTTAAAGAAGAGAAAAAAAGAAGAACAAGAGAGAGAAGAGAAGATAAAGAAGAAAATATAAATTGTCTAAAATATTATTAAAAACTTTACTCTGTTTGGTACCGAAGCCACAGACAGATTGATTGCTTATAATGTGATTGTCTATTGAGGTGTACATTGTTGCCAACAGTTGAGCCCAGATCTCGACTCTCTCTCTCTCTCTCTCTCTCTCTCTCTCTCTCTCTCTCTCTCTCTCTCTCTCTCTCTCTCTGGCAATCATTTATGTGCCGATCGCTTGAGGCTAATATGTCGGTCGGAGCCTTCAAATGCTGGTCTCGATTATGGCTGACTCGATGCGTGACTTCTGCCGGGTCTGTGTTGTTGTCGCCTCTCTATTATCGATGAGATTATTTCGTGTCTTCAATTCGTTTCATTGCATTTATCATATGTTTTCTTCACATATAGTTTTTTTCATCTTCTTCTTCTGACCACTTTTTCATTACCATTACTTATTGTCATATTTGACAACAATTATAATGATATCCTAATAGTTTCAACAATATATATATACCCCATATATGACAATACAATGTCTTAGAAATATATTAAATGCCTACCACTCATGGCTTCTGTAATTTGACTTTTCACTCAAATAATAGTAAGCTTTTTATATATAACAATATATATATTGAATATGAATTCAAGTTATTTGAATGCATCAAATGAATTACTTTTTTAAGGGGGATAACAAAAAAAAGTTATGATATAATAATATGAATAATAATAATAATAATAAATATTGAAAACACATTATAATACCAGTCAGTCAGTCAGTTATAAACTTTTGGCCAAATATAATAACCCAATATATGTCTGTTAGAGATAATATGACATCTTATTATATTTTGTTGTTGAAGACCCAGATGTGTCCAAAATTGTAATTATTATTATGTTGTGCCGGATCTCTATTGCATAGTCAAGAAAAAACAGGTCTGTCTCCCAGTGCTGGTCATTGGCATCACTATTAGTAGGAATCAAACTCTCCAAAGATTTATGGTCTCTCAAAGAGCACGACTCATGAAGACATGTATTCATTATTATTATTATTATTATTATTATTATTATTATTATTATTATTATTATTATTATTATTATTATTATTATTATTATTATTATTATTATTATTATTATTATATAATACCTTTAAAAAATAATAATCACATTAATAGATAATACATAGTATATATGTATTGAATGTTACAAAAAAAATTAGTTTTCTATAATTTAAAAATCAATTTTCACGATTAGTTAGTAATTGTATAACAATTTATTGTTATTTTTAATATTTATATCGTTTTTTTTCTTAAAATGTTTTTTTAGATACAATTATTATTTTAATCAATATTATAATTTCATTCATGTATAACTAAAATATTTTTACTATTCAAGACAAATAATTAGTTTATAAAATAAATTTTAATATTTTCATCGTCAAAGTATAATATAATTTTATCTATTATTAATTAGTTAATCAAATTTAATTATTGTTTTAATTTACTATAACTGTAAAAAACTGACATTAAAAATTATCATAATGTTTAATAATAATATTATAGCACAAAATTTTATAAAAATATTTAAGCTTAATATTTCTAATTTGTATAGAAATTAATATTAAAATAAATTAAAAATAAAAACTATAGATACAACAACTATATATTATTATATATGTATACATATTGTAGATTTAAAAATATTTTATATAATATTATGCAATTTATATAATTCATATCTAATATATATTTATATATAATTTACTAAATACTAAACTACAAATAATTTGTTATTAAAACTGATATAATTAATTAATATAAATAATAAAACTATTAATTAAAAATTAACTATTATATACAGTATATAACTCTATGATAACTATGAATATGAATAAATTGATAAAAACTTTACAAAACAATATTTTCCATACGTTTTTCAATACACATTGTTATTGTAATGTATGTATACTTTTAAATCCAAACTAACGTTATTGTTGTGCGAGTAATGTAAACCCCGATTGACATCCCTTTCCGTTTGTTGTGTTATAACTCGTGGACCGAAATTGTAAGTGTTTTCAACATTTAATTGTAATTAATACTGAATTTATTTAATTTAATTTAATAAAATCAATATTAATTAGTTTATTAGTTATTAGTGCTATCAATGTATTGTCATAATTGACTTATTTTGTTGTATTAACGGCCAAACCGTAGACTTAATTATAACCGAGTTTTTTCTCAATACAATGTAAAAACTCGGACCAGTTTTGCGGTGATATTGAAAGATCTATACAAATCAGTCGATTATATGATAATACTATTAAATGGCATTTAATTGATTCAAGACTATAGGCACACGTGTTAATTGTTTTTTATATTTAAATGATAATAATTTAGGTGTAAACCATGGGTCGTGTGCCGACTGTCAACAGTAAGACATATGTGACGCCCAGACGTCCCTTTGAAAAGGAAAGATTGGATCAGGAGTTGAAACTGATCGGCGAGTTTGGCCTAAGAAATAAGCGCGAGGTCTGGCGTGTCAAGTATACGTTGGCCAAAATCCGAAAGGCCGCCCGAGATTTGCTGACACTGGACGAGAAGGACAGCCGCCGACTGTTTGAAGGCAATGCATTGCTTAGACGATTGGTCCGCATCGGTGTCCTAAACGAAGGCAAAATGAAACTCGATTACGTCTTAGGTCTTCGTATTGAAGACTTTCTCGAGCGACGATTGCAAACACAAGTGTTTAAACACGGTTTGGCTAAGAGTATACATCACGCCCGAGTGTTGATCAGACAGCGACACATCCGAGTCCGCAAACAAGTAGTAAACATACCGTCGTTTGTTGTTCGTCTGGATTCCGAAAAGCATATCGACTTTTCGCTTAAGTCGCCATTCGGTGGCGGACGTCCCGGACGTGTCAAGAGGAAGAACATGAGGAAAGCTCAGGGCGGCGGCGGTGGTGCTGAAGAAGAGGAAGAAGATTAAATATAACAGCCATTCAATCAAACGCCCGATTGAATATCCATTTTCAAACTTTTTGTGGTTAAAAAAATAAATTTTGATTATAAATAATGAATTTGCTTTTTGTGTTTTTAATTATTTGTAAATATAAAACATCTATTAATATCATTATATCATATGTTTAGTCATCGTAGAGCTCGTCCTCTTCATAATCGGCCAATTCATCGACTGGTTGGCCATCGAGTTCTCTTCTTTTAGCAATCTTTTGTTTCATGAATTTGACGAATGAATGCATTTTCTTTTTGTTGTCCAACTCTTCAAACTGGAATTGATACCATGGATGTGGCGCTTCATCGAGAGTTATCTTTTTAATCCATTTATAATATTTGTCTTTAAACAATGAAAATTCTTCACGAAATCGTTGGCTTTTAAATTTCGGGTTAATATCAATTTCGGTGTTATTCCAGTCATATTTAGCTAAAATATTTTGAACATTTAATTTAGTCATTTCTAGCTTTTCGACAAATTTCTTGTCCGGATTGATCTCATTTGCGATCATATAATCAATAATATGGTTAATGTAAGAAAAGTTGTTAGCTTTGCACGCATTGTTCACAAGCGCTCCCAGAATCTGGATATTAGCTTTCATACTTAGCTGATCCATATCTGCGAGCAATTGTTTGCCTAATTGATAGTTATTACAAGTCAACGATAATACACCAAATGTAACAATATCTGGTTTAAGATCTCTTTGCGTCATCAATGTATAGATACGTTTGGCATCGAGTGAACCTCTTTGATAGCAAACATGTTTTATAAGAATATTGAAGAAATCGGTGTCAATTTTTATACGATATGTATCGAATAACTTCAACAATACATCTTCAGATTCATTGGCAAAGTCTATCAATTCAGTCATCAGAGTCATTGTATTGATAGTTGGTATGACATCCGAGTCAATCATCATCCGAATGAATCCTTCAACGCCACCCAAAAGCATAAACCGATTGCTGGCTTTGGTCAGCGAATTGTATTCAATCGATATAATGTTTGACTCGTTCAGACTATTTTGCATCAATAGGTTCGGTGGTCTGACAATCAGTGATGTGTCGTAAGGACTAGCTTTTGATAACTCATTATTTGATATATTATCAAATCTTTTGTCAGTTTTATCTTTATATTTATATTTGTTTTTCAATTTCGACATTTTTTTATTTCTATTGTCAACATTAGGTTCTTGTATTGGACGAGAAGATCTTTCAATTAGTAATTTAAGATTCTCTTCAGAACCTATACCACAATCTCTGACTGCTCTCAGCAATAGATTAAATGTATAGATAGTCAACGGTGTCCTGTGAGACATCATACGATGAACCATTTTGATGGCATCGTAAAGACCCGATTGTTTGTTGGAAATACAGCCAATCAATAGCATAGCAAACGTTTCATCAGTAGTGGTCTGTCCGTTGGCCACCATTTCGTTGACAACTTCGACGGCCGATTTCATGTCTCCCAATTTGCCGTAAGCTTTAATCATTGCGTGATACTGATATGTGTTAGCAATGAATCTATTTTCATTCATCCATTGTCTCATATATCGGGTCTTTTCGAGACCAAACTCAGGAAATGGACATTCGGCACAGGCATTGAACAATGCAGTGATGGCCTGATGACTGGGTCTTATCTCGTATTTTAGCATTTCGTCTAACAAATCAAATGCCTTCCGAGTGTAACCAACTTTAGCGCAGCCATTGATTAGTAATGTATACAATGTTTTTTCGGGAGGAATACGGTCTTCGCTTATCATTTTGTTGTACAACTCTAAGGCTTTTGTAATTTGAATTGGTTTTTGTTTAATCAATTTATTTAATTGTTTTCTGTACCAAATGTCAGCCTTTTTCGATCCCCTCTTAATCTCCAGAACGTCATACTTGTCGTCGTCGTCGGGCAAGTCTTCGGCGGCCAAACGAGTCTTATATCTTACATCGTTTCCGCCGAGTGTACCAAAAGTATCGCCAAAACGCGCATCAAAACCAATTGGTTCTTCGGTTCGCTGTCTGGTTATCGATAATTTGTTGACCACTACTTTGTCAGTCAGTTCATCCAATGGTTCCAACGATTGTCTTGTGATTGACTTTGTTTTCAAATTTCTTGAGCTTTGAAGCCAACAACATCTCTGACAACTAGTTGTTGCTATCAATTGGTTGATCACATTTGGTCGCAACGACAACAACAAGTGTGTGCCCAGTCTTGTGGCACTCATCTTCGTATCAGTTGATCCATCAATCAGTTTGAATCGTCGGATCAGATAAACTAATATCTATTAAACAATAATTATTTCATCACTTTGTTTGACAACATGTGTTGCAATACATGAAGTCATCACTAGATGTCAGTACCAGTACTTTGTCTACAAATTTATCACACGTTTAGCTAAAAACCAAAAACACTGAATGACTTCCTTTTCCTCTGAAGAGTTGGTTTACATTCAACGGCAAAATGAAAGTAAGCAACGATTTTGTGGTCATTTTGTTAATTATCACCGAAATTAATCCAGTGATCACTTCTGCTGATTGATTGGCGACATTCTGCCAAACAAATCAATACCATGAAAGTGATGACTGAATTAGTTTTCGATGTCTTAAATGTTATTTTTCTTTATGTTATCGACATTGTTATTCATGTCTTTTATTATTAATTGTTTCCATCAATTGGTTGTCAGCAATAGACTAATCAGTTTATTTGATCCCATATTTAGCTCAACGTGTCGTTTCCGGCGACAGGCTGTCAGAAGCTCTTTGACATCGACGATGAAAAGAAGGTCCGTATCTTTTACGAGAAGCGAATGGGACAGGAGGTCGAAGTGGACTCACTCGGCGATGAGTGGGCCGGTTATGTGGTCCGAATTGCCGGCGGCAACGATAAACAAGGTTTCCCAATGAAACAGGGAGTCCTGACCAACACTCGTGTGCGTCTGTTGCTGTCCGCTGGCCACTCTTGTTATCGTCCGCGACGTACCGGCGAACGTAAACGCAAGTCTGTCCGCGGATGTATTGTCGACGCAAATCTTAGTGTTATATCGCTTGTTATCGTTCAAAAAGGTTTGATTTGATAATTATTTTCTCATATAAGTGTTTTTTAATTCATAACTTAACACCAATTTAAAGGCGAGAAAGAGATTCCCGGATTGACTGACAATACTATTCCGCGTCGTTTGGGACCCAAGAGAGCCAATAAGATCCGCAAATTGTTTAACTTATCAAAAGAAGACGACGTTAGACAATACGTTGTTCGCCGACCGTTAGCCGTCAAAGAGGGCAAAAAGCCCCAAACAAAGGCTCCGAAGATCCAGCGTCTGATTACTCCACGTGTTATCCAAAGGAAGAGAAGGCGTTTGGCGAAGAAGAGACAGCGGGCTGTCAAACGCAGAGATCAAGCGTCAGAATACGCACGACTTCTGGCACAGAGACAGAAGGAGGCAAAGGAAAAGAAGGCGGAAGAAGCCCGAAGAAGACGATCATCGGCTTCTTCTGGCGGCAAAACTGCCAGTTCGTCGTCGGCTTAGATATGAATTCAACAAAAAATAAAAAATTTTGTAAACCTATTGATGAGTTAAAATAAAAACATCTATTATTAAGAATTTTAACAGAAAAAAACAGAAGTATTTTGAAAATTATTTCATTCAATCAATTATTTTGTTGTTTTCATCAATAAATTAAGTAAATATTTTCAACATTTAGTATTTGATTTTATTATTAATTTTTAATAATTGATTTGTTGGGTAATTATACAAAAAAAATGTATGAAATTACCGGTAAATTATTAATTAAATTTTATAATAACAAAAATAGTTGTCTATTATTGACTGTTAGATGGCGTTAGACTTATAATACTATGGGTTGACTGAAAAAAAATACAATAATATTAGTGTAGTATTAATAGTACTAATAGTAAAGTATGGCATTTATTAACACCAATAATAAGTATTGCTGTAATCGTATTATAAATGTAATGTAAAAACACATTTTAATAGTAAGACTTAAATGCAAACTACAGTTTACAGTCTATATAATAAATATGACATCAATTTGTATGCGCTTTTGAATACTGTATAGACATATGATATGAATGAATATAACAACAATAGTGGCCAACAATACTATTTAGTGGTCGTCACGAGTGTCTTGTATTGACCGCACAATTGTTGGCCAAATTCGATGATCACATGTAATGATTGATCCATTGAATGCATTAAATGATTGCAATATATATAACTGTATTTACAATGAAATCGTCAGTCATATAGTCATATGACTCGAAAGACAAACTGTTATGTCATTACATTTGGATTTTATTTTATTCAGTGACGAGACGTTTCCCACCAATCAATCATCCAATCACTGGATTCAGTCATTTAGTTAATTAATTTATTTAATTAATTAAATATAATTATTAAATAATTTTGTTTTATTTGGATATTAATCGTATTAACTGACGAAAGCATAGTCGTTGTCGTCGTGCATAGGTTTGTGTCCATCGATGGTAATAATCGATAGATTTTTTGTTTTGTTTTTATTTTCATTGATTACCGACACAACTCTTTCTCTTTGCAGTTACCAGTTATGACCGATACGTATGGTCTGAGTTCAGGCGGAAAGTCGCAAACATTGACTTTTTTGGATCCTGAAGAAGCCAACGATCTGTTGGGTGCCGACACACAGGGATCAGAGTATGATTTCAATGATTTTACATTACCGTCTCAATCGCAGGCCAGTCAGTTGGACAGCAATTTATCCCAACGAACGGTGCGTTTTTTTCCATTACCGATTCGTTGACCCATTTTTTTTGCTATTAAATAACTTGCTATTTATACAAACACAGAGAGACACACCATTAACCAATGGTTTGTCGTCAAACGTAACACAAATAACCAATTCATTTGGTGATCTGAACTTTGAAGAGGATGACGAAGACCAGTACTTTAGTAAAGCACTTCCAGAGCACGCCTGCAAGTACTGTGGTATTCACGATCCGAGTTGTGTTATTCAATGCAATGTCTGCAAGAAATGGTTTTGCAATGGAAGAGGCAATACATCTGGAAGTCATGCGGTCAACCATTTGGTGAGAGCCAAACATAAAGAGGTGACACTTCATAAGGACGGACCGCTTGGCGAGACATTGCTCGAGTGCTATAGTTGTGGCTGTCGTAATGTATTTGTTTTGGGTTTTATACCGGCAAAAGCCGATTCAGTGGTCGTATTGCTGTGTCGTCAACCCTGTGCCGCTCAAAGTAGTCTCAAAGACATGAACTGGGATCCAGACCAATGGAAACCACTTATCAGTGATCGTACGTTTCTGTCGTGGCTTGTGAAGGTTCCCACGGAACAGGATCAGCTCCGAGCCCGACAAATAACAGCTCAGCAAATCAACAAATTGGAAGAGCTTTGGAAAGAGGGCAACATTGAGGCGACATTTCAAGATTTGGAAAAGCCTGGAGTCGATGAAGAGCCACAACAGGTGCTACTGAGATATGAAGACGGATATCAATATCAGAATATCTTTGGACCGTTAGTTAAATTAGAGGCCGATTACGATAAGAAGCTGAAAGAATCGCAAACACAGGATAACATTGAAGTTCGTTGGGATATCGGTCTCAATAAGAAAATTATCGCATTTTTTACTATTGCAAAATCGGACACTGATATGCGTCTCATGCACGGCGATGAACTCAGGTTAAGATATTTAGGCGAATCAGTGAAGCCGTGGTCAGGTGTCGGACACGTCACTAAAATACCCGACAATTTTAGCGAAGAAGTCGGTATTGAATTGAAAAGCAATGTCGGAGTTCCTACAGATTGTATCACCAATTTTGTTGTCGACTTTGTATGGAAATCAACTTCATTTGATAGGTTTGTAATTTTAGTTTTTTTTAGTAATACATATTCTTATATTTTTTTATATTGTTTATCCAATCATCAGAATGCAGGGCGCGTTACGCAAGTTTGCAATGGACGAGTTATCTGTTTCGGGTTATATCTATCATAAACTACTTGGCCATGAAATTGAAGACGTAGTGATGCGCTGTTCACTACCTAAACAATTTTCAGCTCCCAATCTGCCAGAACTCAATCGATCGCAAGTCTACGCTGTAAAACATTCAGTCCAGCGGCCACTATCGCTAATTCAAGGCCCGCCCGGAACTGGCAAAACGGTGACATCGGCAACAATTGTCTATCATTTGGTCAAAACTGGAAATACACCGGTTCTGGTGTGCGCGCCGAGTAACATAGCTGTCGATCAATTGACCGAAAAGATACACAAAACTGGTCTCAAAGTGGTTCGTCTGTGCGCTAAAAGCCGTGAAGCCATCAATTCTCCCGTTTCTTTTCTGGCTCTTCACAATCAGATTCGCAATATGGAAGGTCATACAGAATTGCATAAACTTCAGATGCTTAAGGATGAAACGGGAGAATTGTCGTCTGCCGACGAAAAAAGATATCGATTATTGAAGAAGGCGTGTGAAAGGGAACTGTTGGAAGCGGCAGATGTCATATGCTGTACGTGTGTCGGAGCCGGAGATCCGCGATTGACTCGCTTTAAGTTTCACTCGATTTTGATCGACGAGTCAATGCAGGCCACAGAACCCGAATGTATGGTTCCCGTTGTGTTGGGCGCAAAACAATTGGTATTAGTCGGCGATCACTGTCAGTTGGGACCAGTAGTCATGTGCAAAAAGGCGGCACGAGCTGGTCTGTCGCAGTCATTGTTCGAACGACTAGTAGTTCTTGGAATACGTCCGCTTCGTCTCGAAGTTCAATATCGTATGCATCCATCGCTTAGCAAATTCCCATCAAATTTCTTTTACGAGGGCTCACTACAGAATGGTGTCTACGCTGACGATAGAAAGATGACAGGAATTGACTTTCCATGGCCTCAACCCGACAAACCAATGCTTTTCTACTGCTGTCAGGGACAGGAAGAGATTGCCGGCTCGGGAACATCGTATTTAAATCGTACCGAAGCATCGTTTGTCGAAAAGATAACGACTCGATTTCTAAAAGCTGGTGTCAAACCGGAACAGATAGGCGTTATTACTCCTTATGAAGGACAGCGCGCATATCTTGTCCAATACATGCAATATAACGGCTCATTTCATGCAAAACTATACCAGGAGATCGAAGTTGCGTCAGTTGACGCCTTTCAGGGCCGAGAAAAAGACATTATCATAATGTCTTGCGTCCGATCCAATGAACACCAGGGCATCGGTTTTCTCAACGATCCGCGACGTCTTAATGTTGCTCTGACCAGAGCTCGCTATGGTATTATAATTGTCGGTAATCCTAAAGTGCTTTCAAAGCAACCTCTTTGGAACCATTTGTTGACGTTTTATAAGGAAAACAAAGTGCTCGTCGAAGGACCGCTCAATAATCTGAAGGAAAGTTTGATTCAATTTAGTAAACCACGAAAAATGGTTAATTCATTGAATCCTGGATCGCATTTTATGTCAACAGCTATGTTTGACGCGAGAGAAGCCATGATTCCCGGCAGTGTTTATGACCGATCTGGTAATGGCCAACACTATAACAATGCCATGCATTTGAATTCGGGAGCAAACAACTCGCATAATCCATACTATAGACCGCACGACCAGTTGTCATATATCAGTCAAGATCGAGCTCACGCCAATCCATCGTTGACCAGTGCCCTACCGGTGCCAATAGGAATGTTTATGAATATGCCACACATTCCACCGAGATTTTATAATCAACAGATGACTGGAACACGTCAGCCACCAGTTACTACTGGCAAGGGTTTCGGCGGCAAAGGTTCGGCTGTTGGCCGAAACAAGAGCACGAATCGTCGTTTTAATAGCAAGAATGATAGTGATTACTACCCGAACAGTCAACCGGCCAGTCAGGACACAAGTTTGGGCGGATCATCGTTATCTCAGGGACCACTGACACAGGGACAGTTGTCTATGAGTCAAATGAGTCAACCGCCTTATTCCAGTCTATCGCAGACCGGCCTATCCCAGGCCTGCCTCTCGCAGACTGAGCTCTCACAGGTTTAGCTAAAAAATTATTTATATTAATAATGAAAATAATTATTTATTTATTTTTCACTTTAGAAAAGTTTATTTTTTAATTTTATAATTAATCTGTTTTACGCACTTTTATAATACTATATTTAATTAATTATTACTTAACAACTATTTTAATATACAGTATTAACATTTTTTTGATTGAATATAAATATTTATTGTTATATATACAGTATATATATAATATTACAGTAGTATAACTTATTTACATGTTTTAACAATAAAAAAGTTTATTTTAGTTTTATTTTCTTTGCATTTCTACTTTATTTATAATTTTATTATTAATATTTTTTAATTAAATTTTTACTATTACTGTAATAATTGTTTTAATTTTAATTATGTTTGTTTAGGATCCGTATTCATTGGAAGACTTGAGATCACAGGCTGAAGGCTTGTTATCCCAGGACTCCAGTTATCAAACTACTAACGACCGGAACACATATTTTATGGCCTCACAAATGGGCGCACAGTATTCACAGCCCTACTGACCCCCGAAATCGTATGAATTTAAAAACAAAACAAAACTGATGGCACTTTAATGGGTGTAATAAATACAATGAGTACACAAAATAAAGTGAACCCACGAATTGAAAAGATAACGCGTTTCATAAACTAAATTATGGGATTTCGACGGTCGACGTAAAAAAAAGACTAAATAACTTCACCGATCAATTCAATCAAACAAACAAAACCAAATCAACCACTTTGTCAGTCTCTGTCTCTGAAAAAAAATTACAATTTAAAACAAAAATCGCTGCAAAATCAATAGGCAATTGACAACGCTATTAGCAAATTGCAAAAAATGTGTTTTATGTTGAAATCATTTGATTTTAATTGCATGTGAATTATATAAGGAAAAGAAAAGCAAAGATTTTACAACAAATTTTTAATTTTGATGACAAATATATATACATTTATAATATCTTCTAATGTAATTAAAATCATATAACAAATGAATGAATTGTTGAGTGAGTTCTCTGTGGTTGATATTATCAAAATTGAAAAGTAAAATGAAAACAAAAATATTATTAATTTAAAAGTGAAAATTTTTAATAATTATTATCGTTTTGTTTAAATTATGATTCGTTGAAAAAATATTTCTCTAATTGTAGTGTTTTTTATTTGTTTAATTATATACAATTTATATATATATTATAAATATCTAGAAATCTATAATTAATGCTTTTAATTGATTAATAATGTTATTCCAGAAAATTAGGGAACTTTATAATTACTATTCTAGCTTTATGTCTGATTATATTATATTAATTTTTTTTATGTAACACTATTATGTTTTACTAAATGCTTATATATTTATAATTTAGTATTCAATTGTTTTTTTGTCGCAAAACAAACAAATTATAAAACACACAGTTTATATATTATAATTTTTTTTTGAATTAATTATTTGCTTATAACAGTTACAACAATCCTTCTTTTCCCCCAAACAAAAAAAACTTATTTTTATTGTTTAATTATTATTATTATTCTCTGTAATATTGTGATGTACTTTCATCTCATAATTGCTAATTTATTAAATAATAAAAATGCTTGAAAACAAATTTTAATTCTTTTTATTTTAAAACTAATTATTTTTCAACTGAAATACAGCAGAAAAGTTTGCAAACAAAGCAAATATTTTGATCGGAAATTTTCACAGAATATTCTTATACATGAAATTCATTGAAATGAATTTCAATCATATGTTTTACAGTATTAACAGAATATTCTGGTAGTGTGTGTGCACTGCAGTCAATGCTCGTCAATGAAATGGATAATCATTGAAATAGTTTCTCATTTATTGTTGGGTGACTTCAGTCATACATTTTAATGATATAAAAAATTTAATATTTCTAGTTTTAAAATGATATCAATAGTTTGCTTATAGATTTATAAACAAAATATCAATTATATTTTATTTATTGTCAGATATACCTGTATATACATATATATATATATATATATCGGGTATATAATTATTATAAATTTATTGTAATAACAATAATATTAATAATAATGTCTGGGCTAACAAACTCTCTCTCTCTCTCTCTTTCCTCTCCCATCCCTGAAAATCAAGTCCTACCCTATATTATATACATTGCAATGCATTTGAATATATAATGTAATACTTGTAATAATAATAATAATAAAATATATTTGTATAGAAATGTATGGGAAAACAGTATTATAAATGAATGCATGAAATAACTAGAATTGTGTGGAATTTTCTTCACACACTTTATTACTAGAATTATGGAGAATGTTGTGGACTAACCCACAGAACCCAATGGTTACGCCTATTTTGCTGACAGCAGTCAATTGTTTGGCTGCCGATTGGCTGCCAATTAGTCATTGCGTTCTAAATGATTGATGCAATAAAGGCATAACTCAACGATTAGACCACTCCTATGACTCTATGTTTTTAGTAAAACATATATAAAGTGTTGATATGTTTGCCATAAAGTTATCATTTATTAAATGGCATTGAATTTGAAGGATAGCTGACTCACGAAAAACGCATTACAATTGTATTACTATTTTGATTACAAAGTGATTATCAAAGAGAAGTGTATTTTGTTTTGTTTAATAAATACAAGAAAAGTGAAGATCAGTGAAGACAACAATTAACCACAAGAAGTGATTATTATTTATTGTGACAAATATAAAGACAACAACAAAAACGATGAGTTTTAACGACCGTTTCGATCGCTGGAATCGATTGACTCAATTGGATCCCGAGTCACGTTTGGCCGAATTCCGCAAACGATTCGACGACTTCGGCTCACAAAAACCGTTGTTTGCCGACAACCATTCGCCGAAGTTTGGTCACCGATGGCCACCACATATGAACGGCGGCGTCAATCAATCAACGGTAGGTCGAAATGATGATAACATTTCTTATGATAACAGCTGTGATTTCAACTGTTATTATTGTCCGCAGAGATCGGCCACACCTGAAGCTGACGATATGACCGGAATTCCCATAAAAGTATTTCACGAGAAACCAACCGACGAAAGACCAAAGACAAGAGCGTCGACTGACAGAAACAGCGATATGTCGTCAAACGCCAGTCATAAAAGTAGTGATACCTCTCATACTGGTGCCAGTGGTGGAAGTGGTGCCAGCGCTGCCAGTTCTGGCAGTGTGTTTGAATCGATGGATACTGAATCGCCGTCATCATCGCAACCTCGAGTCCATCACATACCCATCCGAGTGGAACCGCGAACCGGATCAACCAGTTCGGGATATACATCGGAAAACAATGCAAACCATCAGCCATTGAGTCGTTCGTCCAGCCATTCGAGCGCAGCCAGCGTTAGCAGCGCTGGTCAGACATTGCGTGGCGAAAAACGATCTCCGAGTCCGGCCAATAGTGTGTCTTCTGGCCATTCAGTGAATTCGGCTAAATCTGGAAATTCTGCGAAATCTGGAAGTTCTGGTACCCAAAAGCTAGCCGATGGTCAACCGGCACGTGTTCATCAAATTCCCATTAAAGTCGAGCCGAACTCACCCAAGAAAACTGCAGTTCCCGACAGTAATAACACGAAAACCCAGACCACTAATACAGCCAACAAAGCAAAATCGGGACCATTTGTAACCCGAATTCCAGTTTCACAACAAACCACTGAAAACATACCACCAAAATCTGAATCGCCGGCGAAAAGTGTCGAAAAATTAGATTCTATGGAACAAATTAATTCAATATTAAGTGATGTCAAGAATTTGGAGATAGAGGTGATTGGACTAAATGGACCGTCCAATGAAAAGAAGTACCGATTTTTGGACGAAATGCTGACCCGTTGTATGATTAAATTGGACACTATTGAAACAGATGGCAATGAAGCCGTCCGAAAGGCCCGCAAGGAAGCCGTACTCGCTGTTCATAAATGTATTACTTTGTTGGAACAGAAGGTCGACAATAATAACAATCAGACAAATCTAATTAGCAATGATATTGAACCGATGGAAGTGTCGTCGACAACGGGACCAAATGGTGAGGCCATTAGTGAGCAAAAACCAACTGAACAGATGATAGCAAAGCAAAAAGAGATGGATATGACTGAATGTTTGTCTGAAATCAATGAGAAACAGAGCCAACAAAGTGGTGATAACAACAACAAGAGCTGCAGTCAAAGTCAGGATAATATTCAAAGTATTATTAGTCCTCAGATTAATAGTCAGCCAAAAGAGACTGCTGTCTGAAGTGTTGAAATTTGTCTAAAAAACTAAAAATTTTTTTGTTTTATATAATTATTTAATTTTTATAATTATTATTATTATTAGCAAACAAATTATTTATATTTGTTTTTTTAATTAAGTGATTAATTAATTCATAAGTTATATATAAAATTCTGTAATATAATAATTTTTAGCATTTGTTTATTTTTTTGCATTTACGTTAATGATTATTTAATTATTATTTTTATTAACAAACATGAAATCGTTGACAAATAATAAGTTCAATAAAAAATAAATAAATATTTTCGCACATTTGACCCAATTATATAAAAATTATATATTTATATAACACATAAAAAACTTGCAATATTTCCATAGATTTCAACCCAATTAAACTCTATATTTTTACTTTTAATTTTTTACTTGAATTAATTTTACTCCTAAATAATATTGTATAAAAATATAAATGATATAATTATTTAATAGCACTGATATTGTGGTTTGAATTAATTAATACAGTAGTAATAATAACCAATGATATCTTAACTAATTAATTATGCTTATATCTAATTAATTAAATCTATAAATAGCTATGTAAAGAAAAAATAAGTTTAAAAATTTGTTAATATATTTTAAAAATATATTTATTTTTTAATAGACATTTATTATTATTATTAATATAACAATTGTTGCCATTAAAAGAAAAATTTGAATAGTTTTAAATATATGTGTTAATTATTAATATTTTAAAACAAAAACTGCTATAAATAAAATGTTATTATTGTTGATAAAATGGTTAAAAGTATTTAAATTTAAAATAAATATGCGATCATCTGAATCACGTTTAATGTGTTTTAATTGGTATTATAATATTTATATTATAATATAGTATACCTGTTAAATAACTACCTATGTATGCTATTTATTGTGTAATAACTATTTATTTATTTTTTAATTTTTTTTGACAGCAAATAAATGTTTTCTGAATAAAATAAATAATAGAGAAATCAGTTTTTTTATTTGAATACAACACAACATTTTCGTGACGAAAGAGTACCTCCTCTTCGCCTTTTGGCTATAAAAGGACATAATATATGAAACATTTTTCGCTATTGAAGGCCAACTTCTTCTTAACCATTATTATATACATGTATTACATCCACACTACAGGACAATGTTCTCGTTCAGTCATTTTTTTCTCAACAACAAAAAAATGTATTAAATATAATTAATATTAAAATAAAACAACATTTTGTTTGCTATCATCCAATAGTACTGTCTATTCTGTGGGTAATAACACCCAAAGACTTCTTCATTAAGCATATCTTTTTAAGTTAAGTTAAAGAGTTATAAACCCAATGAATCTCTTTATTTATAACCATTCCTTTGTTTGTTTGCTGAATAAAATTCAAGTGTTTTATTAACATTATAACCCTTAAAATATGTACCATTTTTTTATGGCCATATCATGTATTAAATAAAACAAAAAGAGTTATTGTTTTAATAAATGCAATAACACTAAAATTAAACTAAACAATAAAAATAATTAGTTTATTGCTAGAAACAAATTTTTGTTGTTGGTCTATGACCATGGTAAATTTTTGTTACTGTCGTTGAACTATACACTGTCTTAAAAATAATAATTTATTATCATACAGTATATATATATATATATATAAGTAAACATGTTTTCTCTATCATAAATTATTATATTTTTAAAAATATGATGATGATAATAATAGTAATAAAAAGTTTATTACATTTTTAACTTTAAAGTTTAATTTTGAGGGTTATTGGGGGGAATCAAACATATTATTATAATTATATGATGATTATAATATGCAATTATTCAATGAATATACTTATTATAATTTTGATCAATTAATTACAATTAAGTTGGGAGTGACAATAGCTGTCATCCTATTTATGGCTAATAAACTTATTTATTATTTTATTTTAAAAAAATACATTGAAGATTGTTTTTGACAAATAAAATTATATATATATATTTAATTTTATCTATTTATAAATTTTAGTTTTATATCTATATAAAATATTGTATAAATTTCCAAATTGCTATATAAATTATAGATACCATATAGTCATTACTAGTTTTAATTTTTATAATGGATAAAAAACATTTATTATTATTATTGATGTCATTGGGGTATCAGTAATATCAAATTTTTAAAAATGATATGTTATATCATATTATCTCAAGTTTATGTTTAGTCTTTATTTTATTAAAAAGAAAATTTTTAAGCTATGATATAATATACAGTAACCGTAAACTTTGTTAAATAATTTTGTGTAAAAAAAACTTCGCTTAAAAAATCTATGACTCACTGATTACTATTGTTTGGTAAACATAATTGACAACAAAAAGTTATAAAATTTCATTATCATCGATGATTTCATTTCTAATAGGAAACGATATGTTTTAGCAATTATATGATTATTTTCAATGAAAAAACTACAATTTCCTTAATTAAATTATATAAATATTTGTGAAAAAAAATAAATTGAATAATAATAGTAAATAAAAAAGATTTCGTCAATGAGTTTTACTAACAACTATATAAATATTTTTTTGAATGAAATATTTACGCATTTTTCATCTTTATTTTTCTCTATAAAATACAATATCTTTATAAAAATAACAATATTATTAAAATAAAATTCAATATAAAAAAATCATAGAATATTATTATAAACTTGTTTGATAATCACTACAAACTTATTGAACTAATGTACTGTAAGTTTATATACATATATATAAAATAAATTTTGTTTGATGCCATATATAGGAGGGGAAAACCCACACATTTATATTATTATTATTTTTGTGAATAGTATTATTATTATAATACTTTCTCTCTATATATTCATTAATAATTTATCGCAAAAAACATGTTTTTTTTATTATAATTTAAAAGTCAAAACAAAATCAAAGCATAGAATTTCTAAATTAAAGGAATTCATAGCTTTCACTATATATTTACTGATTGTTAGTTACATTACATCACATGATGTAAAGGCCTTGAATTGAGACAACAATTGATAGCAACAACAAAAAAATACAAGTTTTTATTGTTGTTATGTWTATATATATATTATAATTAATAATTAAATTGTTTTTCAGCATCAAAGGGCTGGACGTTATAGTTATTTTTATAATAATAAAAAAATAAATTATTATAGAATTGTTTACTCAACGAATACAAAAAAAATATTATACTTTAATATTTCAAATATATATATATATATATATATATATATATTTATATAATTTATTTTATAGCACAATATTCAATACTATTTGTATTGAACTAAAATGCTTACTTAAATTTACGCTATAGTATTGATATTCCAGTAAATTAGCTGACTATTCATAAATTTAATAATAAAATCATAAAAAAAATTTTAATATTCACATAATTTTCATACTTTTTTAAAACTTTTTTTTGGCCCTAAATTTATTTTGATTGGCAGTAACTTATGTCTTAGAAAATAAGTAATTAGTTTTTAGTTTGGGAAACATTTCACAAACAAAATTATCGTCAAATATTTTTAAAAAAGTTATTTTTTGTTGACTTGAAAATTATCTGTTTTTTTTATTATTTCAATTATTACTATAATTTTGGTTCACTGAAAGTTATTTTTGCAATGATTTGTGTGAAAACTATTTATGTTGAATATATGTTTTTTTTTATGGAAAAAACATTTTTTTATTTAACTTTTCATTGAAAAGTCAATAAGTATCCATTAAAAGTACACACTTAAACATTTTAAACAAACATAAATCTATACAATTTGTTTCACAATTAAAATAAATATTTTCATAAGAATTTTTTTTTGTTTAAAAATATATTATTATTTCTTTTATTAATTATTTTATTTTGTACTGTAAATTGTTTTCACTAATTAAAATATAAATTTGTTTGTATGAATTTTTCAAGTAATTATTATTATTATTATTTTTTAAGATATAAAGTTAAATATAAGTATTACACTTAAGGAACCCATAATTTTTACTTAATTTAAATTTTATATTTTCATAATTATTTTTTTAATAAATTATTTTGTATCCTTTATATACATACAAAAAAACACTTATTCCGGTACATTTAAAATTATGTTTTATAAATTAATATAACAATTTTTAATGACTTTTTAAACACACTTTATTGCAAATTCTGTAAAATATTTCAATAAATCAAATTTTTTAATGAACTAATGTTATAAAAAATGATGGAAATACTGATAATTGATAACTCATTTTTAAAAAATAATGTCAAATATAAGTAATAAATTTTATAAGACAAAAATATTTCGCTATATTTTATATTTTAAAAAATAATAATTAATTAAATCTCTTAATTAATAATTTTTTTTGTACTATTTTCAAACTTTTCAAATTCATAGACCTTTAAAAAACATTTTATTTACTATACAAGCAATTGATTGTCAAATGCATTGAATGAATGCATGAATGCATTGAATGCCAACAAAACATATGACTGTTGTTGTCATCCAAACGCTTATCACTTAAAAAACCTAATGAATTGCTAAGCAATCTTTGACTGTCATCCGCATCGATACTTCTTTCTCAATGGCCATGAATTATACACATATTTTATACGATTTGCTGTCAAACAACAAATTGAAGACAATCATCGCAGCCATAGTTATACCATATTTGATGATCAAGTTATACAAGAATCGTACGAAGAAACGACTGATGGCAGCGAAACCGTTAAAGAATAAAGTGGTGGTCATTACCGGCGCTTCATCGGGACTCGGAAAAGGTTACCATCTATTTGTTTTGGTCTTATAATATCAATTGACAAATAATATAATAATTTTGTTTCTGTTGATAGCTATGGCACAAGAATTTTATGTCTGCGGCGCTCAACTGGTTCTCACTTCGAGACGAGTCGATGAACTTAACAAAGTGAAGATGTGGCTAATGGCTAACGATAGCAACTCTAGTGATGAACACTTGGAACCGATTGTCATGCCATTAGATCTATCGAAACTCCATGACATTGAATTATACGCCAACGATGTGCTGTCGAAATGTGGTCAAAAAGTCGATGTCATCGTTAATAATGGTGGCATTAGTTACAGAGGAAGTATTGTCAATACTAGTATCGATGTCGACAATAAAGTAATGCTTGTCAACTATTTCGGACAAATAGCACTTATTAAAGGTGATTCAATCAATCAATCATCAATTATAGTGACTTTTATCTTATAAATTGTGTCTCAATATACAGCATTCCTTCCGTCGATGATTGAGCAAAATAATGGAAAAATAGTGGTCATTAGCAGCGTTCAGGGACAGTTGGCATTACCTTATAGATCGGCCTACACGGCCTCTAAACACGCACTGCAAGCCTTTTGCGACAGTCTTCGAGCAGAACTTGTTGACACAAACATATCAGTTTTAGTGGTCAGTCCCGGCTATATTAAAACCAATCTGTCATTAAATGCCGTCACTGGTTCAGGTGAATCGTATGGCCAAATGGATGCCACGACAGCATCCGGTGCTGAACCTCAAGACATAGCCAAGTCTATTGTCAACTCTTTAATTAGTGACGACAATCAGCTAATAATGTCGCCTATAATGCCAAAGATTGCTATTTGGATCAGATGTCTATTTCCTGATATCTACTTTAAATTAATGTCCAAAAGAGCTAAAAAGGAAAGACACTTATTTATAAAATGAATTACATTTTGAATCAAGTCTTCAATTGGTTCCAATCACTAAATATCGTTAGTACTACTACTAGTCATTCAGATATCAGTTGATAAAAACTCAAATGAAAGTCCATTTTTATCGTAAATATCGGTTACAATAATGTGTTGATGGCATCGAAAAACCATTATATATAAGAATTTTTATTAAAAATATAACATTAATTCGTTGTTTACTTTTTTATCAATTAATTGATCTCTTAGTGTAATTTCTTTTTAAAAAATCATTATTTCTCTTATTTTTTTGTTTGTTATCATTTCTAAAATCAAATGATAGGCTATTAGGAAAATATATAGTAATATTACAGATCATAATCCAAAAATTAAAACTTATTTTTATATCTTAATATATATATATATTTATATATTTTTTATACAACAATTTTAGTCAAATTAAACGATTTATATATTTTGAATGCAGTGAAGGCTAACGCTATCAATGAGATTGCCGTCTGAAAAATATTATCCCTTTTGATCTGATTGTAGGGCCTTCTGGTGAGCACAACTGGTTGGTCAAAGTCGGCCAACGGGACAGGTATACTGTTTGGGTCGTTCTCAACCCGATAGTGATAGCACTCGTCCATTTGCCACGAGAGCACGTGTATGCCATTAGTAAATAGACTGATTCCAGTCAGACAACACTGAGTGGTGCGCTTATCTGGCCATAAGATACCCGTTATGATGGAACCGATACCCGTCAATATGGATGTATTGTATAAACAATTGCCAATCGATATCCAACGAGCCGTTTCTTCGCCTAAACGACGGCCTTCAATCACAATCGTTTGCATCCGATTCTCTGTATTTCATCAACAAAATAATTATCATATCAATTGTCATCTTTGAATACCATTTTTGCACAAACCTAAGGCTCTCTCCAACTCAGTGTCCATGAGATCGTCAGTGCCATCGAAGATCTCGCGAATCAAAGCCAATCCATTATCAGATCCGTTGTTTTCGAGGAATACGCTGAAGAAGACAAAAACAGACAATTATTTAGACGGAATACAAGAGTTTTAAGCCTATCATCTCATTTGATTGACACATACTTGTCATCATTTGGATCTGCAACAGACATCTTATCGACGCTCTATTAGCAAGTCTTCGGGAATGTGTGATTGACTTTGTTTTACCGCAATCTTTACGATTCTTACCGAGTCTTTTGATGAGACTTTGAAACCCCGAAATGTGAGATCAACTAAACAAATGTTGAAGACTTGACTTTGATTATCATTAACTGTTTTGTTTGCTTTTGTTTTGTCTAAAAAAAATATTTGTACGAAAAGATGTGACAATAGCGACAAATGAAAGATGAGTGTCCTATCAAATGATAGTCAGTCAGTGGATCAGCTGACACACAGAGAAGATCCTAAACAGACAATCACTGAATGGCTCGACTGCTGACTGTCTCGACTGACTCTCAGACACTGCAAACATAATAACATACGACTACTACTACTTGAATACGTGACTGATATTCACGCCGTCGCTGTATTGATAGTGACAGCATTGCAGTACACATTACATACAGTGTGTTCAATAAATTATCGGCACAATAGTGGCGACACTAATCACAACAAAAATACTTAATGCAAGTAATGTTATGTTTATTGTGTTGTCAATCAAAACACTGGTTATGTAATGTCAAGTCAGTCATAGACCGCGTGTTTGTTTAGAGTGAGAGAGAGACCGCACGCGCGCCACCAGTGCTCATACAGAGAGTCATTCAAACATTTACTTTACTATTGAATGATATGTATGTCTGACAACACGTGTCGCCACAGAAGTTGTTTTAGTTGTCCACTCATCGATTGCTTTGTGTATATTACTAGTGGTGTCGCCTAAAGAAGTGGTAAATAATTATCATTGGATTTGATTACATTAAATATCTATTAACATCACTTCACACGAAGAGCCGACACCGCAACAATGGTCTCACCATTGGAACAGTTTGTCGGAATGGTCCGCAACTTTTCATCGCAAGGTTTGTACCGATGTTTTTGTCTTTCAATTAATTTAGATATTTCTTATTTAATTTTTTTTCTTCTTGAAAAATGTATTGATATTTTTGTGTCCACAAAAAAATGACGAACTATAGGAAGCTTTGACCAATTGTCGGATTATATCTCAAAAAACAGTGACATCTTAACCAAGAATAGCACTCATCTCGACGATGTAATGCAGACACTGGATCTCCAGGAGCACAGTCTCGGCATTTTAGCCATACTGTGAGTCCTATACTAAGTGATAGATTAAAAAGAAACAAAATTATGATTTAATATCTTATGTATATATTTTTTATTGTAATAATTGATGGGATCAGTTGCGTAAAACTTAATCTACCAAATGTTGAAACAGAGGCACTGTTTCATCAGATCTGTGAGTTTATTGTCGGTTGTAATGGAGAACAGATACGAGCGGCGCCGGAGACCTGTTAGTTATCAGCAGATGGATAACAAATTGATGTCTTACTAAACACCAATTTTTCTTTCTTTTCATTTTAGTCGCCTCATTGTGTCATCTGTTGACACAGAGACTTGTCGACCAGCGACAGGCCATACGAGGCATTGAGCTCTTAAGTAATGCCATAACCAAAGTTCAGTTGCATTCATCACAATTGACATCAATTCACGCCGATATCTGTCAGCTTTGTCTTCTATCTAAATGTCTTAAACCGGCGCTTCAATTCTTGGACATAGATATCACAGATATCAGTAAAGAGGTATATTATCGATCAAATGAAGCGACTAATTGGTAAGACATTATTGTTTATATCTTAATGTCATACAGAATGGTCACTACGATGTCAAGTATTTTCTGCTTTACTACTATTACGGCGGAATGATATACTCGGCCCTCAAGAACTACGAGCGTGCGCTCTACTTCTTTCAGGTGGCCCTCACGACGCCATCGATGGCAGTCAGCCATATAATGCTCGAATCATACAAGAAGTATGTATTGGTTGCACTCATACACGACGGAAAAGTGCCGCCACTACCCAAATATACGTCACAAGTGGTCAACCGTTTCATCAAACCATTGAGTCAACCGTACACTGATTTGGCCTCTGCTTACGGCTCGAACAATGCCGAAGAGTTGACCGCAGTTATCAACAAATACACCGATGTCTTTAACAGAGTATGTCTTGAAAACCAATACCAATAAAAAATGATTTTACAATTTTATCAAATATTACCATTTGGTAACATTTTGCTTAAAAGGACACAAACATTGGTTTAGTTAAACAATGTGTTTCTTCATTGCATAAGAAGAACATCCAGCGATTGACCAAAACATTTATGACTCTATCGCTCAATGATATGGCAAATAAGGTTCAGTTGTCGAGTGCTAAACACGCGGAGAAGCACATACTCGATATGGTATTTGATCTGAAGATAATGACATAACAATGACTTTGTTTTTATTGTTTAAACTTTGTTTACAAATCCCAGATAGAAGACGGAGAGATATTCGCATCAATCAACCAAAGGGATGGTATGGTTGTCTTCTTAGACAATCCACAAAAATACAACTCATCTGTAATGTATCGACACATCGAGGAAGATGTATGTCATTTAGATTACCATTGATAGAGATTTTTTGACAAATTTGTTTTATATACTAATTGATTGATTAGATGAGGAAATGCATACAATTAGATGAAAAACTCAAGCATATGGACTATGAGATTGCATTGAATCCGAAGTACATCCAAAAGATGAGAGTAGAAGTCGAGTGATTAAACGATTAAAACATTTTATTGCTATTACCGTATATGTAATAACTATTTAAATGTCTAAATATGTCAATAAATCTAATTTTTGGTACAATTTTTTCTTTTGTTTCAAATATTTTCATAATGAGTTATATTTATTATATTTTTATATATCATATATATATTTATATTATACTGTATAAATAGGTGTTAAAACAAGATAACAATATACTGTAGGATCTAATGTAATGAACGCATGAATAATGATATGCGAAATGAATGTAGATTTTAAATTTCAGTTCAAAAAACTGGAGAATCAAAACTTATTAATAAATTTTTTGTTTTTAGATTTTTGTTTTGAATTTAAAAGTATTAAAAGACATAGAAAATAATACTGAATGTGATTAAAAATAATATAAATTAAAATTAGTTGTTAGTTGAAAACTAAATACAATACCCCCTTAATTTCATATTTATATAATTGACTTTTAATTAGTCTAAAACACAGTGTGAAACATACATAAAACGGTGACAATAATAATAATTGAACAAAATCTGTGATTTGTTTTCTAAATGTGATGAAAGTTTTTTTGTTTAACTTTTATTAATAGTTTTGTTAGTGATTGTGTTGTTGTTTTCAATTTATATATATATTACAAATTAAAGCGATTTATTTCTGTATATACTATTGTAGTGTATTCTGTATTTTTTAAACACAGTATATTTCAATGGATTGCTTATATAATGTGTGGGCAATAATTCAAATGGACTGACGGTATAATAAATTCATAATTATTATTTAAATAAATAGTTGTACCCAAAGTGTGTCTACAATTTTTTTTGTGTGAATTTATTGAGATGTCTAATATGTCTGTCGAAAAAAACTAGTCTTTAAACTTTAAATTTTGTTTTTTGAATGTTTGTATACCATATATACATGATATTTGATTTGTGAAAAACTAGCAATCATTAAATACAGGATATTCTAACTGCTATTATAACTATAATTTTGTGTCACAAAAATTATTATTAAAATATTATTAGCATTGAAGCCATGGCTCGCTATTTATAATACTTATATAGTTTTAATAGATGTGACAAACGGAGTCACTTATTATTATTATTATTATTACATATTTATATATATATAATATATGATATATAGAGTTAAATAATATTATGTAATAAAATCAGTCACTTATATAATACCTATTATAATGTACACCTATTAAGCCATACAAATGCATTTGAATATAAAGTATAGTCTAAACCCGTAATAAATAACAATATATTTTTCAAGTGATATTTTGAATTGTTTTGAAAAAAAACTTATTATCAAAACATCTCAAATGATATTTCAATAATTTAAAGAAAAAACATTGAATACAATTGATTGTCATATTATTTATACAATTATTAATCATAAAATAATTATTGAATGCATCGTTGATTGTATAACTAAAAGTGTGGATCAAATGAGTGTCGACTGTAGTATTAGTCAAAGGGCTCAACACTAGTAGTGAGTGAATAGCAGAGAGAAGAGAGAAAGTATAGTATTAGCGCTCAGTTGTATTCATCGCTTACTGAGTCTACAAACCATACACTCCTCTGTCATACCATTTATTTGTATGTGTTTTGAGTGCACTGCAGACTCCCTGTGCGGCGCTTAACAACACATCTCTCTCTCTGTACTTCTTGTAGAAAATAAAAACCAACCAATCATTTGAATCAAATGGATATCAATTAAAAGAGATCACCAGTTGTTGACCAAACAGAACCTACAAGACATGTGGTGACGACAATCAGATCACTAACTAAATTGGATCCGTTTGTACATCAAGACTGCAATCAACTCACGCGCCGTTATAAGACATCATAACACTATTGGGGTGTTGTTGTGGACAACTGTTTTATTCTTCAAGACAATTGTTTTCTATTTCATCCCAAGAGAAATAATATCCATATAATTGGTGTACTATAACATCGGATATATCGACGACAACAACATCAAAATGTCATCCAAACCGAAGAATAAGCTGAACTTAAAGCTACCGCACTCTTCATTACAAACCAATGATCACAGTCTGATTGATTCAACTCTCGAGTAATAATTTATTTGTCATTTAAATCGATAGGATTTTAATTGATTTGTTGTTTTTATGACAATCAACAGTAAACCATTGGACACGAGTCTCGAAGCGCTGCAGAAGACATTAGAAGGACTGGATTTGGATGAACAACAAAGAAGACGATTGGAACACTTCCTGTCGCAGAAACAAAAGGTCGGCGAACTTAACGCCGAAGACTTTGACAATTTAGGCGAATTAGGCGCCGGTAATGGAGGTGTCGTCACCAAAGTTATTCACCGACCCAGTGGTCTCATTATGGCCCGAAAAGTTTGTTTAAATCAAATCTTATTTACCCATAATCATAGAATTTAATAGATTGTTGCTCTTATCATCAGTTGATCCATTTGGAGGTAAAGCCAGCCATAAGAAGTCAAATAATACGTGAATTAAAAGTTCTTCACGAATGCAATTCCCCGCATATCGTCGGCTTTTATGGAGCCTTCTATAGTGAAGGAGAGATCAATATCTGTATGGAATATATGGTAATTAAGTTGTGTTTAAAAAAAAATAATTAACACTAGAGCTGACACAACTCTCTCTCTCTCTCTCTCTCTCTCTCTCTCTCTCTCTCTCTCTCTCTCTCTCTCTCTGAATCTATTGAATAGGACGGCGGATCTCTAGATTTGTTGCTGAAGAAAGCGAACCGAATTCCAGAACAGATCTTAGGAAAGGTTACCATAGCTGTCATCAAAGGCCTTAACTATTTGCGCGAAAAGCATCAGATAATGCATAGAGGTTTGGATTAATTATTAGTGAACTAAAATTATATAAATTTTTTTAAAAAAAAATTATACTATAATTATTGACACATAAGATGTAAAGCCTTCGAACATATTAGTCAACTCTCGCGGAGAGATTAAGATATGTGACTTCGGGGTCAGTGGTCAGCTCATCGACTCGATGGCCAATTCGTTTGTTGGCACCCGATCTTATATGTCGGTTAGTCTAATATAAATATATGTGTTTAAAATATTGTATTTTCCTATATTTATCATCAATTGATAATAATTTTTAATATATTTTTGTGTTTTTTTTCAACTGAAAGCCCGAACGACTTCAGGGAAATCACTATACAGTTCAATCAGACATCTGGAGTTTAGGTCTTTCATTGGTAGAGATGTCAATTGGAAGATATCCAGTTCCGCCACCCGATTCCAAAGAGTTGTCCCAAATATTCGGCAGCAAATATGTGCCCGAAACTAACGAAATATGTCCACCGCCTCAAAGCTATCACTCTTTGAGTCCAATAGGAAAGTTCAGACCAAACAATTTTAGCCCAATTCTACACAATTCCGGAGCCACGGGTGATGGTCCGCGGCTATCGATATTTGAATTATTAGACTACATTGTCAATGAGCCGCCACCAACTGTTCCCAAATCTGTATTCACAGCAGACTTCAAGGACTATGTCGATCGGTGTCTTACCAAAAATCCGGCTGAAAGGGCTGACCTTAACAGTCTAATTGTATGATTTACTGTACTAACCAAAGTGTTAATTGAATTAATTTTTGTAAATTAATTATTAGAATCACCCGTTCATAAAGCGATCGGAAACCGAAAAGACTGACTTTTCGCGTTGGATCTGTCAGGTCATGCAATTGGATCCGTCGACGCCCACCAAAACTACCAGTCCTAACAGCACTGCTTGACTAAACAAACATAATTGTCAGTTATTATTATTATTATATATTTTTTTCGTTATTTAATTATTTTTTTTGTTTTAATTATATTTATTGTAAATATTAAATCAAAAAATTTCAAATGAAATGCACCAAAAGTCTGCTCTCTTTTGGCACTTGATTTCACAAATCAAATTCAAATCAACTTATTCTTAAAATTTTTCCAAAACTGTATTTTAATTATGACTTCATTTATTTAAATGAGTTTTAAATAATAAAAAAATTATTATGACTACAATAAAAAACCAATTATGGAAAATTAAAATGTATTTAAAATAAAAATTATAAAAAATTAAACTAAATTAAAAACTAAAAAAAACATCAAAAATAATTATTTGTCAGATAATTGTTGTGGTGGTTGTCGTATTTGTCTCTCACCCGTCACTAAATAAATATGATAGGCTTTGAACAGTAAATATGAACCAAATATCTTGCGTTTCCTATCGTTCCACTTCTTGGTCATTGAATGTCGTTTCTGGCCACTGATCTGATTCGTCAGATTTCTTAAACCGATGGCATCGATAATCATCGATTCGCGAGCAAACGCCTCGTCGGATGTGATGTCGTGAAAACAATGCAAAGACACTACACCTTTGCCATTGCGCCAAATGTCCAAAATTTTATCATTCTTTGGCGATAACTTATTCCTCCTGTTGTTGTTATTATTATTACCATTAGATTTGATTGATTCATAAAAGTGTTCATAAACTCGATTTCCCTGTCCTTTTCCGACATAGAATATCGAATTAATAAATTTTATGAACAAATTCTTATCAAAATATCCGACACTATTGCTACCACATCTTAACTTGACTTCCAGCGGAATATTTTCGGTAATCTCCGGATCCATTAGCAAATAATTAAAGTATATTTGTTTTGTTTGGTCACTCTTGAAATGTTTAATCAATTGTTGTTCAAGTCTTTCTGCTTCATCATTGGGAAACGTTTCGTCGACCAATCTATTCAATTCGTAACAATGGTTAGGAAGTGCTAACACTGTCTTAGATGGCGAACAAACTTTTCCTTTTCTCATTTTCAACAGTCTTTTTATATAAAACTTTTTAGTCGACTTGACTACCGGTCCGGGAGAGTCACCCATAGTTCGTAATTCATCGACAATTTGAGTATTATTCATAAGTTTTATTACATTATCAATGGTATGGTCACCAATAGTCGATGAAGCACTGCCTCTGGATATAACATCATCGAAATTGTTGAGTGTCTCAGTTGAAGAATTTCCATCAACACATCTGCCGTCGAGTCTCTCTTCAATAAGTACCACATTATAGTCCTTATCATTATAAACATAAATCTCTGTTTTGTCGCTTCTTATTGATGAACAACTTTTTATTGAGTTTGTCTTCTCATAGGATATATTTGACACCAGAGTATTGTCACTATTATTACTAGAATTTTGAGAATCAATTGACTTTTGACTATTATTTACTTTATAATTATCAGAATTGACAACAGTTTTATCCAAATATTTTTCATGATTTTGAATAAGAGGTTCATCTGAATTAGCGTTTGCACCACTTATTGCACTAATTATTACTGATTTATTATCGTTGGTGTTGTTGTTTGTATCAGTATTACTGTTTTGTTCGCATTTTTTAGGACTAAAGATATCATTTAATGCATAATAGGATTCATTTGCAAAATACTTTTGGAGACCATTTTCAATGATATTAAAAGATATCTTATCATTACTGTTGATGGCATAGTCTCTTGCAGTCTCTCCATATAAATCACATATAAAGAGATCGATGTCATAATTGATAAGAGTTTGCAATGTCTTGTGATGACCCCATTGGACGGCTAAGTGTGCGCTTGACATCAAAGTGGAGTCAATTTTGGCCAAACTGTTAATATCGATGTCTGGCAAAGACAACAAACACTCAATACAGTCGATGACAAACTCGTTGTCTTCATATCCGACAAATAAGTGCAACAAATTCAATGAGTTTTTGTCGCCGTCGATGATATAGTCGTTGATATTATCCAACGAACGGACAAATCTATTGAATTGATTCAAGTCTTTTGATTCTAACAATTCTTCGATGTCTTCAAACATTTTTTTTTCGGGGGGCAGTTATCGGTCAGTTATTCAGTTCATCGACAATATGTTTGCCATCGGGATCACCAACAAAGCCGTGGTATTATCAACAATAACAACAACAAATAGTGGTTGTCATCATTACCACAAATAGTCCGGTCATCGACTCTCTTGGATAGCCATCAGTGGTCACACAAACATCACTTTACAGTTGTTATCGTTAAAAAAAACTTTCAAAATACACAACACATTCAATACAACTGTACTCTTATTGGTTGAAACCCACGAAAAAAATGTAGACATTGTTTATGTGATAAAGTATTTTCTAATACAGTATTTATTGCAGTTATTTGTCAATTGTTTTATTAGAGAAACTCACTGTTAAAGTCATACATTGTATTTGACCACTGATTTCGGTATTAAAAAAAACTTTTCGGACAACAACTATGTCGACACCAGTGGTCGACAAAATCGACGACAATATTGAGGTATAATAATACTAATAATTTTGTTGATTCAATCAATGGTGATGTTTAATCACATGTAATATGTTTTTTTTCATTGAGTTTTGTGTCCACATCAATGAATCAGCACTTTTTCATTGTAACTAATAATTGATTTTTTTTGTTGGTTTGTTTTCAGGCCATCAGCGAAGATGTTCTACGAATGGGAACCGATGAAGTAGTTGGCCGAACACGACTTCTTGATAGTGAAGTGAAGATTATGCGAAGCGAAGTCTTGCGTATCACTCACGAGTTGGCGGCGCAAAAGGATAAGATCAAAGAAAATACCGAAAAAATTAAAGTGAATAAAACTTTGCCGTATTTGGTCTCAAATGTTATCGAATTGTTGGACATCGATCCCCAAGAGTTCGGTGAAGAGGACGGCGCTAATGTCGATTTGGACGCTCAAAGAAAGGGCAAATCAGCGGTTATTAAGACATCAACGCGTCAGGTATTGAACGCTATTATTGGTTATCTTAACATTTAATTCCAACATTAATTTGATCCACAAAACAGACATATTTTCTACCGGTTATTGGTTTAGTTGACGCCGAAAAACTAAAACCCGGAGATTTGGTCGGAGTTAATAAAGACTCGTATCTTATTTTGGAGACATTACCCGCTGAGTAAGTGATGAATGGATTACCGGTAGATGTGGTTTTTAACGATTTTATTTGTAACCATTTATTTTTATTATAGATATGACTCACGAGTAAAGGCTATGGAAGTGGATGAAAGACCGACTGAACAGTACAATGATATCGGAGGTCTCGATAAACAAATACAAGAACTGATTGAAGCCGTTGTTCTCCCAATGACTCACAAAGAAAAGTTTGAAAATCTTGGAATTCAACCACCAAAAGGTGTTTTACTGTATGGACCGCCCGGTACTGGCAAGACATTGATGGCTCGGGCCTGTGCGGCACAGACTAACTCAACGTTTCTCAAATTGGCCGGACCTCAATTGGTTCAGATGTTTATCGGTGACGGCGCTAAACTGGTTAGGGATGCATTTGCTTTGGCCAAAGAGAAAGCGCCGGCCATTATATTCATTGACGAATTGGATGCCATCGGAACCAAACGTTTTGACAGCGAAAAGGCTGGCGATCGGGAAGTTCAGCGAACAATGTTAGAACTATTGAACCAATTGGATGGTTTTAGTTCATCGACAGATATCAAAGTGATTGCTGCCACCAATCGGGTCGATATTCTTGATCCGGCACTTTTGCGTTCCGGTCGATTAGACCGTAAGATTGAGTTTCCGCATCCAAATGAAGAGGCCAGAGCTCGTATAATGCAAATACATTCAAGACGTATGAATGTCGACAAAGAGGTCAACTACGATGAGTTGGCCCGTTGTACGGATGACTTCAACGGCGCTCAGTGTAAGGCGGTATGTGTTGAGGCCGGTATGATTGCTCTGCGCCGGAATGCCTCTCAAGTAACTCACGAAGACTTTATGGATGCCATACTCGAAGTCCAGGCGAAGAAAAAGGCGAATCTTAATTATTACGCTTAATAAAAATATTTACTTTTTTAAATAGTATTCATATGATATTTAATAATAACATTTAAATAAATCTAATGTAAATTTTTTTAGAAAAATCAATTTTTCTTTTATTTATTAAATACTGATATCAAATAAGTATTGCTCTGATTTTGTTTATCCATAACAATATTGTTATCAAAAGTAAATAGTATATCAATTAAATGGTTATCATAATACGGGAAAACAACAATTATTGTTTAATTTGATTCAATCTAAGCGATGAATATTATTGTGATCTTCATATTTGGTCAGATCAGTCAAATGGTTCCACCACTCAAATAGGAAATTATCAATCATTAACCGAAACCACGGCGTAACCAGATTTCCCTTTTGTTCTTCATTTTCTGATACAATGAATGAATCAATTAAATTAATTATTATAATTACAATAATACTGTATTTCAATTAAATTTTTAAAGTCTAGAAAACAAACCCAAAAACGACAAAAGTTTGTCTTTGGCTACGAATTTATAACTCTTGACTTCATTTGGATCGGGATTTAGTTGGACGTCCTTTTGTATGACCAAAGCGTAATCAATTTCATGCTCTCCCCAGAGTCCACCCGACGGTGCTTTGTATAAAAATCGTGTCATATATTTGATGTCTTCGAGCAGAATATCTTTCAAATCAATTCCTAATTCCAAATGCATACGTCTTTGAGCAGCTCTTTTGACACCAATGGCATCATTTTCATCCATTTCCAAATCATTATATAGCGGATGACTACAACAAGTGTTAGTAAAATATGAGGGAAATGTAATCTTAGCGTCCGATCTTTGAGTGACCAGAAACTCTCCTTTGCTATTGAATAACATTACACTGAATGCCCGATGAATCAGACCGTTGTCTATGTTTGACATCAGATGACATTCTTTCTTGGATTTCGGACCAATTGGTTTATCATTTTCATCGACAACAATACATTGTTCGCTGAGTAGTTGTACCTGTTTTGGGTCCAAATCTGAGACAATCGGATCTTGCATTTTTGGTCTTAAGATTATGTAATCTGCGATAGATATTAAACTATAAAAAAAACTTTTTGAAAAATAAATATAAATTTTTTGTTTTTTATGGTAAACTATATTTTTCTCCAAATGATATTCACTTAAAACAAAAAGTTTATATTTAATTCAATTAATTTGAAATATTTAGTACAAATCATCAACGATTTATTAAATAAAGAAAAACAAAATGAAAGTTATTTATATAAATTATAATTAATTTTTATTTCTTAATTAATAATATGCAGAATCATTGACAAAAATTGCTGACAAAAATTATTCAATAAAAAAATATATTTATATTTTTCAAAAAAAAAATTAAACACTAGAGATCTAAATAAAATGAAAATGAAAATTAAAATCTTTATGTCACACACACTGATCGGGGACAGGGATGTACAGATACTGTAGTTGATAGAAACCATACATACCTTACTTTTTTTAATAATTAAAACTATATTATAAATCATAGTGTATTATGTAGATTAAAAAAAATCAATTTGTATAAATTTAATCAATTTATTTAATAATTTTTTTTGTCTACAATAACAATTATATAAATAACGATGATGCAAAATTTTAATTTTCAAAATATATATATATATATATATATATCGTAAAATTTGATTGTTATATTTGTTAAAGTATCTTGGTAGTATTGTATAAATAAATAAATAAAACCAAGTATACCAGGTATAAAATTGGAAATATTATTACTTAATTAATTTAGATTTTTAATTTCAAAAAAAATAAACAATAAAAAACTAATCATTTTAATGTTTTAATTTATTTTATTTTTTTTTTGATAATTTTATTAATTAATTAAAATAAAATAAATATTAATAAATAATTGAATGAATGAATAACTGATTTGACATAAAGAGTCAAAATTAATATATAAAAAATTATTTGTGAACCCAAACGGTGACGTCATTTATGTGGCGCGCAATGCAATCGGCAATCGAATGACAGCCATATTTGTGTTTTGAATTCGATTTTTTAAAAATATTTATTTAATAAAACATTAATTGAATTGAATTTTTGAAAACAAATCAACAAATTGTTTGATTGTTTGTCCATTTGATTCACTGACCGCTCAGTGTTTGTCACCCGATTCGGGCGCTATCTTCGGGCACAACCCAAGTGATCAACCAATCGATTGATTGATTAATTAATTATAATTGCATGCAATGATGGCATCAAATAATTACTACGGCTTTACACACGCCGGCACTCAATACGGGTAAGTCTTGTCTTTTAACCGAAACGATTGACACCATTGAAGACATTGTTGTTGTTGTCATTTCTGATTGTCTTTTTGTTGTTGTTATTATTATTCTCAATCATTGTTATTATATCAACAGAAACAGCTATACACCGGTAGCGCCGACCGGTTACCCAATGGTTGCCCAGACGTACGCCGCCAATCCGCGCGCCGGTTACGACCAATCTTATGGCCAACAATCGGGTCAAACGGTACCCAATTATGATTACAATACGAGACCACAGGTTTGTTTGATCCAAATCTATTGATGGATGACTTTGTTGGTACTTATTATTGATTTTTTTTATTAATAAAAAGACATCTACCGGTGCTGTTGGCTACGGAACCGATGGCAGTCAATACGCCAATAATGTCCAAAACACGGCGTATCCATACTCTACCGGTTATACCAATTCGTATAACGCTGTGGTCACCAATTATGCCGCAAGTAATACATTCAGTGATTAATTGTTAAATAGTATTCAATAAAAAAAAAGAAATTATTTTTAATTTATTTTTGTTGTAAATTTACCGGAAAATGTCTGACAAAACAAAACAAATATTTAATGATAATTAATTTAAATACTCATTTTATTTTGCTATAAAATAACTAAATTAGTGTTGAGTTTTTAGTTATCTTAAATTTATAGTATCGGTAAATTTATTTTTAAATACTAATAAAAATTACTTAATTTTGATAATTATTTTTTATAACATCAATAGTATTGAAAGTAAGATTTACAATAAATATTTTCAAAAATACAATATTTTTTATTAGAAATAGATATTTTAATTTTTACTGTAGTTTTTTATTTAGAAATTATATTTTTAAAACTTATTTTACAGAATAATTTATAACATAATTATATGACTAATCAAAACCATTGGTTATTTTTTTTTTGTACGAAAAGATACTCTTTATAGCCAACAGACGACTGGCGGAAGCGGTGCTGAAGAGCAGACATCAGCCATCTATTCAAACAGTAAGTCATCAAACAATTGGAATTTTAAGAAACATTTCAAAGGCAACAAAATGAAGAACACGAAGAATGTCCAACAATTGCATTATTGTGATGTATGTCTTGATTAACAAAAAAAAAATCTATTATTAGTAACAATTGTTTGTTGTTTTATTTTTGATACACAGGTATGTAAAATCAGTTGTGCCGGTCCTCAGACATATAAAGAGCATTTGGATGGACAAAGACACAAGAAGAAGGAACAACAAATGAAAGCAGCGGCTAATGCGTCGAATAGCAAACGACAGGCATCATCGGCGGCAACGTCATCATCATCGGGAAGTCTATCACTTCGTTGCGAACTATGCGATGTCACCTGTACTGGCAATGATGCCTATGCGGCACATATACGCGGTACTAAACATCAAAAGGTTATCAAATTGCACACAAAACTGGGTAAACCTATTCCATCGAACGATCCGGTAGTGGTATCACCAAATTCGGCAAAAACCACTAAAACCGGTGACAATGGTAATACTGGTAGTACTGGAGGTCAGGCAAAGATTAAAGTGTTGGGAACTCCAAGAATTAATTTTATTGGCGGAGGAAGGCTTCACACTACAAATTCTGGCGAACTAAAGGAAGAAAGTTTTTCTGATCAAACAAATAATACGAACGCTTCCGGTAGCGAACAACAGGACGTACCGAATCAGACTCAAGACTTTGCGGTCGCCGATACCATTGCGACACACATTTCAGAACTCGACAAGAATGAGGCCCAACCTGTTGGACAGGACTATATCGATGAAAGCAAAAGTGATGACTTAAAGGGTATCAGTTTTCATTGCAAACTTTGCGATTGTCGTTTCAATGATCCGAACGCTAAAGAGATGCACTTAAAAGGACGCCGTCATCGACTTCAGTACAAGAAAAAAGTTGATCCAAATCTGGTGGTCGAAGTTAAGCCGAGTTTAAAGAATAGAAAACATCCGGGAGATAGTAAAGAACGTCGAAATAGTTATAAACAAAATATGCATTATTGGAATGATTGGTATTCGAGTCCCAATCGTTACTACGATCCGCGTCCTATGGGACCACCTATGCATCAGATGCCACCTTCACATATGGGTCCACCGCCTCCTCCCGGGTTTGCCGGTGCTAATAATTTTATGGGTTCACCCTCTATGCCTCCTCACTTTAGGCGAACAAATTCCAGTTCATGGGATGACATTCATATTATGCAAAAGCATTCGGAAATTTGTCCGAAAGAGGAAGAGTTGGACGAAATTCATCATTTGGTTTCATGTGTCGAACGAGCTCTCAAACTAGTCTCCGATAATATGGTCGAAGAGGACACGACTACAGCCATGAATGAGATGATCAAAAAAGAAATGGACGAACTGTCGACCTCTAATGGTTTGGCCGCCGCTGACGGCAACAGTAAAGATAAGTTACAAGAATCATCATCAGAATCATCAAATGTGGGCAAACCTGAAGAGTCTCAATACAGACTAATGAAAGGTTTGATGCGCGTCGGACCACTAGCTAAAGGACTGTTACTGACCGGCGATAAAGAAGTAGATTTAGTGGTGATTTGCTCCAAGAAACCAACTAAACATCTATTGCAACGAATAGTCGATTTGCTTCCCACACAACTTCAGGTATTTGTACCACAAATTAATTTTTTACTGTAATTTGTTATTCAAACCTTTATTATGTTTTTTTTAACTAAATGACAGATTGCTTCTTCCATTGACTCATTTGACATTATAATGAAAGTACACGACTCGGGACTATCGATTGCCACAAAAAATGAACCAAAAATCACGGCTAATGTTACGCTAACATCACCATTGGTTAGGGAGGAGAATGCTAATGAAGGAATGATTGCTGCACCGGGTATTTCATATTACATTTTTATAATACGGTAAAACAGTACTGTTGTGGGGGTATTGTCGGTGGTATTGGTTAAGACTATTGAGTAGTCGGCCATGAATTGACAATAACTTCTATGAGCTACAGATTTATTTGCAGATTAATTGTCCAACAGATCGACATATCCCTCATTCATCACTGTCCTCTCAGTGACCAAAAAACGATTTTGGTTTAACTATTAATTGCAATTAGTTTGTCTATTAATAGTGGATTGGATTGAGGGGACAGTGGTGTTGAAGGATTGGCCCTCCAATGTGATGATAGAGTGATTTTTAGTCTCTAAAACTGAACTAATTATTCTTGACTCACAACTGCTCTCAAACCATCTCTAAATTTATATACTTATACTGTATATACATAACTGACAAACCATTTAATGATCCAATGATTTTGCTCTTCGTTTAGACTTAGAGATGGTTAAAGAGCCCCAACAGCTGCTCGATCGTCAAAAATGTGTCGAAGCACTGGCAGCTCTTCGACACTCAAAATGGTTTCAGGTTTGGACTTCCTTTTTGTCACTTTTCAGCCTTTTGATTGATTAATACAAATATTATTATAGTTTTGTTTTTATTATTAATTAGTCTAATTTAGTAAGTTTTTTGTAAATTAGAAATTTTTTAAAAATTAAAAAGTTTAACAATAATTATTTTTACTGAACTAAAGGCTGGAAAGTTATCTTTAGTTAAATGAGGGGCATTTAATTTATTTATGTTAATTAAATAATAATTATTATATTTTATTTTTATATGTAGTTTAAATATATAATAATTGAATTATTAATTATAATTAGATTTCAAATTTAAATGATTACAATAAAAGCCCCTTATTTTAGAAGAGATACGAAAGTTCAAAACTGTAACAAAACACCCCTTTTGACTATTATTTGATACAAAAATTTTTTTAGTAATATTTATAAAAAAAAATTATTTAATAGTAAAGTCAAAAGTTTATATAACATATTATTAATAAATGATTAAATGTTTTTAATATTCTAATGGACTGTTTATTTATAGGCTAGAGTTGCGAACCTACAGCCCTGTCCTATCGTTATACGACTATTCCGTGACTTATGTCGACGACTGCCCACGTGGTCTAAACTAAGTCTATGGGTTTGTTAATTAGAAAATTATTGATTTTTTAAATCAAATTTATAACCAATTTTTATATCCAAAAGGCAATTGAGTTACTTTGCGAAAAAGTCATATCAAGTGCTGGCGAGCCATTGACACCGGGAGAAGCATTAAGACATACATTTGAAGCTATTTCATCAGGAATTTTGTTGCCGGGCGGTACCGGTTTGGCCGATCCCTGCGAAAAGGAACCTACAGATGCTTTGGCTGCATTGACTCGACAGGAAAGGGAGGACATCACATCATCGGCTCAGGTAGTTATTAGAGTTGTATTAGTTTTAAAAAAATCATTTTATTGATTGTCTATTGTTTTTCTTATTCTTCTATAGCATGCATTACGTCTGATAGCGTTCAGACAAATATATAAGATATTAGGCGTCGATCCGTTGCCACAAAAACAACGAAAACGACGGCTCGATTCGGAAAATGATGCGACGGTTGACACCGAAGTTGAGAACAAAAAAGAGAAAAAAGACGACACAGTTATAGATAATAATAATGAAAATACAGATACTGTCACTCAAATGATAACAATTACGTAAATTAGTGATTAGTATTTGAAGTTTTTTTTGGAAATTTTAAATTAATTTTTTTTTTTTGGATAAAAATGTCAAAATCATCTGCGAATGTATTTTTTTGAACTTATTGTTTGTATTAATTTAAATCATTATATGTAACCATAAATATGTATATTTTAAAACATTATACAAACTATATATATTTAAACTCATTTACTATATCTTCTATTGTGTTATATTGTGTAACATTTATTTATTTGTTTTTTTTTGAAAAATACACGATTAATACGTTTACTTAATTGTAATACAATATCTTAAAATAAAAGAAAAAATTAACTAAAAAAATTATATATAAAATTTAATTTAAAAATTATGCAATTCTTATTTAAAATGCAAAATTGAGAGCTGATATACAAATAAATTGTTTCATATTTCAAACCAGACTTTGTCTGATACTGTTTGTAATGTATAAGATATAGTTATCTATAAAAGAACTTATAAACAATTAAAATAACCGTTAAGTTTAGTACTTTTTATACTATTGTCTAAATTCTATTGTTGTAAATTAAAATTCTATTACTGTTACACTGCGGAAAATAAGTATTAGTTAGCATTGTATTTATTAGTGTATTGTTTGATTTTTTTCGCAGTGTAACAGTTTAACTATTAAATAGAATTTTAATTTACAACAATTAAATTGTTATATTTTTAAAAACTAAATTTACTTTTCTAGTATTCAATAGTAAAAATTTTTATAATTTTAAAAACTAAATTAGCTTTTCTAGTATTCAAATGTTAAAATTGTTATAATTTTAAAAACTAAATTTACTTTTCTAGTATTCAAATGTAAAAATTGTTATAATTTTAAAAACTAAATTTACTTTTATAGTATTCAATAGTAAAAATTGTTATAATTTTAAAAACTAAATTTACTTTTTTTAGTATTCAAATGTAAAAATTGTTATAATTTTAAAAACTAAATTTACTTTTTTTAGTATTCAAATGTAAAAATTGTTATAATTTTAAAAACTAAATTTACTTTTTTTAGTATTCAAATGTAAAAATTGTTATAATTTTAAAAACTAAATTTACTTTTCTAGTATATTTTTAGATTTGAAACGATTAAAGTAAAAATTACAATTTACTTTAAATCGAATTATCAATATTTTTATATTTGAAATAATTAAAGCAAAAATTACCATTTACTTTAAATCGTATTATCATTATTTTTAGATTTGAAACGATTAAAGCAAAAATTGCCATTTACTTTAAATCGAATTATCAATATTTTTATATTTGAAATAATTAAAGCAAAAAGTGCCATTTATTTTAAATCGAATTATCAATATTTTTATATTTGAAATAATTAAAGCAAAAATTACCATTTACTTTAAATCGAATTATCAATATTTTTATATTTGAAATAATTAAAGCAAAAATTACCATTTACTTTAAATCGAATTATCAATATTTTTATATTTGAAACGATTAAAGTAAAAATTGCCATTTACTTTAAATCAAATTATCAATATTTTTATATTTGAAATAATTAAAGCAAAAATTGCCATTTATTCTAAATGTAATTTTGACAATTTTTAGATTTGAAACGACTAAAGTAAAAATTGCCATTTACTTTAAATCGAATTATCAATATTTTTAGATTTGAAACGATTAAAGCAAAAATTGCCATTTACTTTAAATCGAATTATCAATATTTTTATATTTGAAATAATTAAAGCAAAAATTATATTTACTTTAAATCGAATTATCAATATTTTTATATTTGAAATAATTAAAGCAAAAATTGCCATTTATTCTAAATGTAATTTTCACAATTTTTAGATTTGAAACGATTAAAGTAAAAATTGCCATTTACTTTAAATCGAATTATCAATATTTTTATATTTGAAATAATTAAAGCTAAAAGTGCCATTTATTTTAAATGTAATTTTCACAATTTTTAGATTTGAAACGATTAAAGTAAAAATTGCCATTTACTTTAAATCGAATTATCAATATTTTTAGATTTGAAACGATTAAAGTAAAAATTGCCATTTACTTTAAATCGAATTATCAATATTTTTATATTTGAAATAATTAAGCAAAAATTACCATTTACTTTAAATCGAATTATCAATATTTTTATATTTGAAATAATTAAAGCAAAAATTGMCATTTTTTTAAATGTAATTTTCACAATTTTTAGATTTGAAACGATTAAAGCAAAAATTACCATTTACTTTAAATCGAATTATCAATATTTTTATATTTGAAATAATTAAAGCAAAAATTRCCATTTACTTTAAATCGAATTATCAATATTTTTATATTTGAAATAATTAAAGCAAAAATTACCATTTACTTTAAATCGAATTATCATTATTTTTAGATTTGAAACGATTAAAGCAAAAATTGCCATTTACTTTAAATCGAATTATCAATATTTTTATATTTGAAATAATTAAAGCAAAAATTACCATTTACTTTAAATCGAATTATCAATATTTTTATATTTGAAATAATTAAAGCAAAAATTACCATTTACTTTAAATCGAATTATCATTATTTTTAGATTTGAAACGATTAAAGCAAAAATTGCCATTTACTTTAAATCGAATTATCAATATTTTTATATTTGAAATAATTAAAGCAAAAATTACCATTTACTTTAAATCGAATTATCAATATTTTTATATTTGAAATAATTAAAGCAAAAATTACCATTTACTTTAAATCGAATTATCATTATTTTTATATTTGAAACGATTAAAGCAAAAATTGCCATTTACTTTAAATCGAATTATCAATATTTTTATATTTGAAATAATTAAAGCAAAAATTACCATTTACTTTAAATCGAATTATCAATATTTTTATATTTGAAACGATTAAAGTAAAAATTACCATTTACTTTAAATCGAATTATCAATATTTTTATATTTGAAATAATTAAAGCAAAAATTACCATTTACTTTAAATCGAATTATCAATATTTTTATATTTGAAATAATTAAAGCAAAAATTACCATTTACTTTAAATCGAATTATCATTATTTTTAGATTTGAAACGATTAAAGCAAAAATTGCCATTTACTTTAAATCGAATTATCAATATTTTTATATTTGAAATAATTAAAGCTTTAAAAAATTACCATTTACTTTAAATCGAATTATCAATATTTTTATATTTGAAATAATTAAAGCAAAAAACCATTTACTTTAAATCGAATTATTTATTTTTAGATTTGAAAAATTAAAGCGCCATTTACTTTAAATCGAATTATCAATATTTTTATATTTGAAATAATTAAAGCAAAAATTATCATTTACTTTAAATCGAATTATCAATATTTTTATATTTGAAATAATTAAAGCAAAAATTACCATTTACTTTAAATCGAATTATCATTATTTTTAGATTTGAAATAATTAAAGCAAAAATTACCATTTACTTTAAATTGAATTATCAATATTTTTATATTTTAAATAATTAAAGCAAAAATTAMCATTTACTTTAAATCGAATTATCAATATTTTTATATTTGAAATAATTAAAGCAAAAATTACCATTTACTTTAAATCGAATTATCAATATTTTTATATTTGAAATAATTAAAGCAAAAATTATCATTTACTTTAAATCGAATTATCATTATTTTTAGATTTGAAACGATTAAAGTAAAAATTGCCATTTAGTTTAAATCGAATTATCAATATTTTTATATTTGAAATAATTAAAACAAAAATTACCATTTACTTTAAATCGAATTATCAATATTTTTTAGATTTGAAACGATTAAAGCAAAAATTGCCATTTACTTTAAATCGAATTATCAATATTTTTAGATTTGAAATAATTAAAGCAAAAATTACCATTTACTTTAAATCGAATTATCAATATTTTTATATTTGAAATAATTAAAGCAAAAATTACCATTTACTTTAAATCGAATTATCAATATTTTTATATTTGAAATAATTAAAGCAAAAATTACCATTTACTTTAAATCGAATTATCATTATTTTTAGATTTGAAACGATTAAAGCAAAAATTGCCATTTACTTTAAATCGAATTATCAATATTTTTATATTTGAAATAATTAAAGCAAAAATTACCATTTACTTTAAATCGAATTATCAATATTTTTATATTTGAAATAATTAAAGCAAAAATTACCATTTACTTTAAATCGAATTATCAATATTTTTATATTTGAAATAATTAAAGCAAAAATTACCATTTACTTTAAATCGAATTATCAATATTTTTATATTTGAAATAATTAAAGCAAAAATTACCATTTACTTTAAATCGAATTATCAATATTTTTATATTTGAAATAATTAAAGCAAAAATTACCATTTACTTTAAATCGAATTATCAATATTTTTATATTTGAAATAATTAAAGCAAAAATTGCCATTTACTTTAAATCGAATTATCAATATTTTTATATTTGAAATAATTAAAGCAAAAATTTCAATTTACTTTAAATCGAATTATCAATATTTTTATATTTGAAATAATTAAAGCAAAAATTACCATTTACTTTAAATCGAATTATCAATATTTTTATATTTGAAATAATTAAAGCAAAAATTKCCATTTACTTTAAATCGAATTATCATTATTTTTAGATTTGAAACGATTAAAGCAAAAATTGCCATTTACTTTAAATCGAATTATCAATATTTTTATATTTGAAATAATTAAAGCAAAAATTACCATTTACTTTAAATCGAATTATCAATATTTTTATATTTGAAATAATTAAAGCAAAAATTACCATTTACTTTAAATCGAATTATCAATATTTTTATATTTGAAATAATTAAAGCAAAAATTACCATTTACTTTAAATCGAATTATCAATATTTTTATATTTGAAATAATTAAAGCAAAAATTGCCATTTACTTTAAATCGAATTATCATTATTTTTATATTTGAAATAATTAAAGCAAAAATTATCCATTTACTTTAAATCGAATTATCAATATTTTTATATTTGAAATAATTAAAGC